AATATTTTATAAAGATAATTTTTGAATAAAAAATTATATCGTATAAATATTTATTTAATATTTATTAAATATCAAATCGATATTTTTTAGATAATAAAATTTATTGATTAAAATATATTACAGCAATATTTATTTATAATTTAGTAATATAATTTCGATAATTTATTATATTAAAATAATATTAAATATATATATTAAGTTATTAGTTTGCTGTTATTTTGAGATATCAAGGTAATATCTTATTATATCAAAAAGTTATCCCAAAAATATTCTCGTGATATCTTTTTCATATAAAAGTTTCAAGATATCTCAAGAATATTTTGATGATATCTAGGTAATATCTTTTTGTTTTCGAAGTGATATTTTTCAAAACCATTGATTTCAGCAAAGTATATTATAATATAATTACAATATTACAGCTAAAATTATGGTATTATGGCATTGGCACAATTAAGAGAATAGTTATAACTCTGTTGTAATACATTGATTATAGCAGATATCTTTACTATAGAGTAATCTAGAGTAACCTGAAGTATAGATGATACTTTAATTAATTTTGCATTTGTCAAAAATATAATTATCAGAAATAATTTTAGCTGTTGAAACTGAAAATAATTTCAGCTGCCATAATTATTTTTAGCTACTGAAATTATTTTAGATTGCCAAAATTATTTTAGGCTGTTGTAATTATTTTAGGCTACTATAATTATTTTTATATGATGAAATTAATTATAGATATTATAATTAATATTGATTATTATAAATATTATCAATATATTAATACTACAATTATATTAAGTTGTATTTGCCAAAATTTATTTTATTATAAAACATGAATTATATTATAAAATTTAAAGTTTATTATATTATTTAAAATTAAAATAAAAAAGAAATTATCATATTAAAAATTATTAATTATTAATATTTACAGATGTATTAATTATTTCATTAATATCATAATCTTCATTATCTTTAATTATTACATATACCATATTATTATTATTATTATTATTTTCATTTGAAAATTTAGTAAAATCTAATATTTCTTCAACTTGTAAATTCTCTTTATTATCATTTGTAAAATCATAATTATCAGCAATTTAATAATCTAGGTTCTCTGAAAATAATAAAAACTTGATCCAACTACTTAAAAACTAGTAGAAATAATAAAACAAACAAAGTATACCTACCTTTAATTCTATAAATCCCTTTTAAACTTTGAAATTACTTTTCTTTCTTGTCTAGAATATAGACTTTAGATTTATAAACAGTACTGCGCCACCTAATTCAATTATAAAAACTAATCTAAAAATAATCAAAAAAACAATAGTTAGTATCTGTATATATGAAGAAACAATAAAATAAACATCATAATACTCTTGCTGACCTTCCTAAACTTTGAAATATCTTATAATTTTAGTTTATTTTTAATCCTATCAATCTATAATAAAAATAGCTAATTTAGTAGACTTGTAATTGTCAAAATTGAAAAAAAGAAACTATAATTATTAAAATTAAAGGAAAAAACCTACTATTATTTATGTCAAAACTCAATAAAAATAAATGTTAGTATGTAGACATAAAAAATAGTATTAAAACAAATTTATTTGTTTATTTGGTAGACTTTTATTGTATGATATTTGTGGGATCTGCAAAATTTTTTTTTGTATCACAGATCACCTGATCCAACCATTTATTGTAATAAAAATAAAATGATCATGACACAAATTTTGACCAATCAAATAATTTCAGCAGCTTAAATAATTTTAGCAGCTTAAAATAATAATGGCAGTTAAAAATAATAATGGTAACCGAAAATAATAACAGTAGTCGAAAATAATTACAGCAGCCGAAAATAATAATGGCAGCTGAAAATAATTACAGTAACCAAAAATAATAACAGTAGCTGAAATTATTTTTGACATTTTTGAATCTTGAAAGGTAATGCTGAAAATATTTTCGGCTGCTATAATGTCATAATACTGTAATTCTGGTCTAATTTTGATGTCATCTATAGTATACCTATTTAAAATTAATTTGATTTTTGAATAAAAAATAAGACAAATTATGTGATTGGTATTTCTAAGTTTTCCGTACTATAGATAACAATTCGGCACTATATACCTTATCCTTGATAATTAAATAGATAATAAATGACAAATTATAAAAGTTGATTCTAAGAACTTTAGAAAATTTTTAATTTTTTTGTTGTAAATTTTCTTGTTGCAGTAAAACTGAACTATGTAGTATATTGTCTAGGGGATAGGTTATACTCATTTATTTTTGACACAATAAAATTAAATCATGTGTATATTCCATTTCGCAAGTTATGACATACAAATAATAATATTGAATTTGAGTTTCTAAAAGAATTAGAAGTTGTTGTGAAGGGTACCTGATAGTTGTTATAATCTAATGAAGATATATTATACAATGGAAATTGATCAAGAATATTAAGCTGATATATAAAAAATTCAAAACTTATCTATGACATAACAAAACTAAATTATGCGTTATTCATTTGATACAACAAAACTAAATCATGCATCACTGATTAATTGAAAATAAATTAGTTCGAGTGAAAATAATATATTTATATTATTTCTACTTGTTTTTTAAAATAAGTTTTTGTTTTCTAATTCTTGTTTCAAGTTCATTTCATAAATTTTCAATTGGATTAAGATCAGGACTTTGAACTAATCAAGGAAGTTTTTCAATTAAATTATCTTCTTTTTATTTTTTGTTTTATCTGAAATATAGCATAATGCATTATTATTATTGTTATCTTTAAAAATAGGATTTTCTATATTTAAATTATTTAAATATGGAAACAAATATTCTTTAAGTAATTCTATATATCTATCAGAATTAAGATTGTCTTTAACTAAAATTAATGAATTCAACTTATTATTACAAAACATCTTCATACCATAATTCCTACTGAATTTTTAACTGTGGATTTTAAACAATCACTTTTATATCATTTACCTTTTTTGTGTCATATCCAATTTTTAGAATTATTATTAAACAGTTTATATCTTGATTTATCACTCTATATAATATTTTCCCATTTACTATTCTATTTTTTTTTCATACAACACCAACCAAATCATTTTTTTTTTATTTTTCTCTGAAATAAAAGGTTTTTTTTTGCTACATGTCCACTATAACCTTCTTGGTGTAAGGTTCTTTAAACTGTACTACTAGAAACTGAAATATTTAATTCAGTATTAAAACTTTCAGTTATTTCTTCCAATGTTTTACTTCTATTATTTTTAACAATTTTTATTAATTGTCTATTATCATGATCAGTTAATATTTTTGGTTTACCTGATTGTGAAATTGTGAAGTCAAACCCTGCTCATTATTGTTGACTTGAAATAACCTAATAATTTTTTAATTTTATTGTATGTTTTCTTTTATGTAAACCAATAATTTCTCTCCACATTCAAAATTAGTAAGTTATTTTTTTTAGGCATGATTTTATAATAAATAACAAAATTATATTTAAAATTTATAATCAAATAATTTATAAAAATTTAATTTATAAAATTTTTATTATTCTATTAAAATTAAAAATTGAATATTTATATTATAATTATGAAAATAAAACATCAACAGTTTATGCAGTTTCTTTATTCCTTTTTTTTGTATTTTCAAATTTAGGAATAATTATTTTATAACCTTTCTATAGTAAATTTTAGGATAATCTGTAAGAGAATTTTAAACATATATAGTAATATAAACATTTTTATTTGTGCTTAAGTAAAGTTTTAATTTTTACTAAAAAATATTAAAAATGATTTTAATAAAAATTGTAGCTCTCGTTATTAGCTACAAATTGTTATAAGATTATTTGTATCTACGACAAATATTCATCGAAATCGAGAGACTTTACAATCAATAATTTGATTTGACTTTTTTGATTAATTTTATTTAAAACAAAATTTCTGTACAAAAAAATGTCTAATTTTAGCAAACAAGGTATCATATGATAGGCTTTATCTTAGAATTCATTTAAAAAAAAGTTTATGTAATTTGGGTCATTCATTGTGCTACAATTAGCATTTGAAATTAAGTAAACGGGTTTGAAAATAAATTATTGTTGATCATTTACTGTTTGAAGAAAATTATCAATCGTTGTTACATATAAAACATATTTTTGTACCAATAAACTCTCAAAAGTGATACTAAGTAAACTTGAAGATAATATTAGTTTACATCTTCTGTAAAAGTTTGGAATCCACATATTAAGAATTAAAGGAATCATTAGCATTTATTTGTTAAAGTTTAATTGTTAATTATTTCTTTTCTTCGCATTATATAGGCTTGAAACTTTAATAGTAAATGTGCAATAATATTCTCTTCAAGATTACTTAGTATCACTTTTAAGATTTCATTGGAATAAAATAATGTTTTATATGTAGCGACGATTGATAATTTTCTTTAACAGTAAATGATCAACAATAATTTCGATCGTTTTTTAGTCGTGTCTAAGTAAAGTTCTGATTTTAACTAGAAAACATATAATATGATATTAATTAAAGTCGTATATTTAGTATAGGGCTATAACTTCTTTTAAGATAATAAACACTTCCAGTCGATAATTACTGAAATCGAAAGAGATTATGATTAATAATTTAATTTAATATTTTTGGTTAATTTTATTTAAGACAAGATTTTAAAACGAGCAGGCATCCAATTTGAATAAATAAGATATAATACGATAGCCCTTGATCTGGGAATTCTTTTAAAAAAAAGGTTGTGCAATTTAAATTATTCGTTATGCCAGAATTCACCCTTGAAATTTTTTAAAAAATTTGAAAAAACAGCTGTCCGGCAGGCCGGTGTATATAAGCAGGTGATATAATCGAAGTGAAACAAATCAGCCCATATTTTTTTATACTTAATATGTATATATATCACATTATATTTGTAGCACAATTTGAAAAATATAAATTTTCGAATTTGTGAATTTTGACTAATTTTAATTTTCTCAAATGGAACACCGTTCAATAATTTTACAATCAATCCAAAAAATCATTGACAAAATAATTGAAAACCCTGAAGCTGCAAATGATCATCCAAAGGGTTATGGTATTCCTTCACTATTTGAACAGTTATGGGCTTTTGTGGCTTCTTCATCAGGAATCACTTCTTCTAATGCAATTAAAAAGTTGGTCGCTCTTGTAAAGTTAAATGTCATACCTTGGTCTCAGGCTCTTAATGGTTTGATAGATGCTCTTCCTACAGTATCAGGAATTACTCTTGATAATGTTATAATTGGAATAACAGATATTTTAATATATCAAGTAGAAAGCGAAATTGATTCTTTAGATTATAAATGTCCCTTTAATGTTAAAGCTTTTCATGATGAAAAGATCCATCCATTAATATCTGCAGTTACAATGAGACCCAAGGAATCATTTCCTATCTTACTTTTACAACTTGAAAGGATTTTTGATATTTCCAGGATTAAATTTATTACTGGTTTAGATTCCACTCAAAAAATATCAAAGTATATGCAAAACTTATTGGAAATGATGAAATCTTTTTTCAACTTTGTTCTTCTTGATTGTTCTCAAGAATTAAAAGAAAATCAAAGGTTTTGGTCATCTTCAGTGATAAATTTTATTTTAAATCTTGCATATCATAATATTGGTGATGAGTTTTATTCGAAATTCAGAGAAGATATGTTATATTATTTGATTTCAGTTGCACAAAGAATTTCATTGGAAACTATGTTCAATACTATTACTTCACAACATTCACAATATACCCAGTACACACATTACCCAAAATACAATGCAATTTCAATTGAGATTTATCTTTTAATGCAGTCACTTGTTCATGCTCTTGAATTATCTTTCATTCGAGAAAATTTAAGTTCAACATTTTTAAAAGATTTCAGTGTCATACTTGGGATTCATATCCTTTCTCTTGCTTGTGATGCTCATCATTCAAATTTATCTTCAATTCAATATGTATCAATGTTTTATCATTTATTTAAGCTTCACCAAAATTATTCAGAAATTATATCAAAACCAAATTACTTATTATTGTGGCCTTCTTTATCTTTTTTACTTTTGGATTGCCAATCATGCGAAATTCAAATAATGATACTTGAAATTATGCAAAAATTAATTGAAGATATAAGTAAAGAAAGTAAAGAAGATGTTTCTTCAACATTAATTAATATGGCTATTTTACCAATATTTCAAGTGATTTCGGAATCATCTCAAGGAATTTCAAGGATTAATGCGATGGAAATTCTTCTGATGATTCAAAAAATAAATACAATTCAAAGAGTTACCAATAAAAATAATGAAAATGATTTCGAACAGGTAAAATAACATTACTATTTTTAATAATAATATTTTTTAATAATAATATTTTTTAATAATATTGTAATAGATCGATGTACTGCTTAAATCACCAAGCATTAATGGTTCAATTTCAGAAATATTATCCGAGACATTTTTTCTATTGAAAAATTTTTCAAAAGATTTTAAATCAGAAAATATATCCATGAAAATGAATCTAACGCTTTTTAATGTACCATATTTATTTCATCATGAAATTAAAATGAAAATTTATGCATTAGATCATTTGAATTCAATCTATGAAAATAATATTTCTTTGTCACAATCACAAAAATTTCCCATATTTTTATTATTCCTTTACATTTTGAGAAATGATAATTCTTCCTTAATTCATCTTCATATTTTGTATCATTCCTTACCTTTAATTTCTACCAATGATCCTGTTATCTCAGCGAAAATCATAAAAATAACAAAGAGTCTTATTCGTGAGGAAGGCGATGACGAAAAAACAAAATTACATGATGTTGGAATAAGAATGTTACATAAACTCTGGATTAAGCAGAAAAGATTTTGGAAATCTTTAAGATTTATCTTGATAGAATGGATTAAAAAACGTAAACTCATAGTTCATGAAGCTTATGCATCGAATGAAAAATTTAAATTAGAAATAGCTGTCCTCTCAACCATAAGGTTATATTTCCATTTTTTTATTATTTTATTTTATTTTTTATTTTATTTATTAACGATTCATCATTCTCTTTTCATTCATTTCATTCATTTTATTCATTTCATCCATTTTATTCATTTCATTTTTTATTATAAATGACTTTTTTAATAATAATAAAAATTTAATAATTAAAAAATTTTTGATTTATAGAGATATTTGTAAATCGAATGGGAAAGATTACGCACAGGAATTACTTCCTTTCATTTCAACTTTATTACAATCTGTTGTGCTACATCCAAAGACTTTATGTTTAATAATAGAATCATTGAATTCATGTGTCGAAGCTAATGTCATTGATATTAGAGCAGGTAAGAATTATTAATAATTATTATCTTTGTTTTTTACATATTATTATATTTATTTTGACTTTTTTAAGTTGCTTTTAGTTTGGAATATTTTATTGGTACATGTTACTGAAGCGATAATGAAATCTAAAAAATTTCACTTTGATATAATATCGAGATTATGTGAATTTTATAAATTGGTGGCTAAGAATAGTGAAGGTAAGTTTATTAATTTATTATTATTATTATTTTTTTTTTATCATTCAATGCTGTTGCTGCTGATCTTATTATCTTTTTTTTTTTTTAATTTGTTAGACACTGATGTATACAATGAATTTAAACAAAATATATTATCATCATACATTTGTTCACTCATTTTCCCTCATCGATATTCTATTATTACTGATCCAAATCAAGAAGATCAAGAAGATCAAGAAGATCAAGATCAATTTCAAATACAAGAAGATCATCGAATTCTTAAATTAGGTCTTCTTACGTTATCTCATTTCTTCGTACCTGACATTTTGTCAAAGGTATTTCCTGAATCACCAAAAATATTATCCTCAATTCTTTTTTGTGATAGTGATGAAGGAATTAATCTTTGTCAAATGGAAGAATGGCAATTTGTATTAAGTAAAATCATTTCACATGAAATTGAAAATTTGAGGCGAGGATTATTCAAAGGTGTCAAAGTTGGTGATGTTAAAGGTGATGGAAAGTTAATATCTGATAATCTTAATGTCAGTGAATTTAAAAAAAATAATAAACAAATAATAACATCAATTGGAGATAAAATTGTTAATGATTGGGAAAGTGGATTAGTTAATCCTGGTTTAAGAGTAGGATACGCTTTAGCATCTTTGATCTGTTATCAACCTTCAATAAATAAAAAACAAGAACTTATTTCATCATCACAAGATCAACAAATTGATTTGAAATCTACAAGATTTTATAAATTAATGGTGAATGCAATTCAGGACATTACTTTAACTGATCATTGGTTAATTAGATTAAGTATTGTTTTAGAATGGTGGAATTTTTTCGAAATGGGTTTACAAGAATTATTGTCTATTCATACAAGTATTAATAGATATTATGGTAATAAAGATGAAGTAATCATAAAAAAATTATGGGAAGACTTGATGAAACGTTTAGATGATGTGAAATTTCCCATAACATGTCAAAATATCATTTTGGCACTTTCGGGTATTTTTAGTAAATCAATATATTTATTAAATTCTTTATATTTTTTTAATTTTTTATATTTCTGAATTATTAAATTTCAAATAATTGATTTAGGATATTGTCTTGCATTAAAGTCTTTAAATATTGTATCTGCACAAGAACATGCGATAAATACATTGAATCGGATTCTTGAACTTCTTAAACAATATGATGATGATAAAAATTTGCATCAAAATCAAATTTCCACCCTCTTTGTTAATGAAGAAGTTCAATTTGCTATTATAATGGCTTTGGGATATTTATCATCATTAATTATACTTGACGAAAAATTGATTCGAGAAGTTATTGATTTGTTAATTTCAAAGTTAAACGAAAGTCCCAGGTACGATTATTTTTATTATCATTTTTATATTTTACTTTATTATTTATTTATTTATTTATCTTTTATTTTTATTTTTTATTTTTTTAATTATTAAAATTATTAATTTTTTTTTTTTTTAAAATTATTATTTTCCCCCAACTACTATTTTAATGATGAATATTATTTCAATTAATTAATTAAATTAAATTAAATTTGATCTTATGAATTTTAAAGTGAAACATCAAGATGGACATTTTTGGGAGCGGGATATGCTCTTGGAACTCTTTTATCTCATATTTCTTCTTCTAACGAAATGAAAAAAATGAGTTCGGAGATTGTATCTTTCCTTGGTGAATTACTTACTAATAATACTTTAAATGATGATCAAGAATTAACCGAATCTACTGTGTCAATTGATTATAGTTTAGGTATCATGATTGGGTTATCAAAAATTAATTACAATGATGAAGAAGAATTAGAACCTATATATCAAAAGGCTTTATTTAATCTGAAAGAATTTGTTGAGAAAAATGGTAAAATTAATAAAGATGTCAAAAAAAATATTGCAGGTGCAGCTTGGTTAGTCGGATTTTCAGAAGGTAAAGAAGTGACTGAGGAGATTGTTGAACTTTTAGGAAAAGTCGTAAAGATTTCAAGTAAAGAGGTAATTATTATTTTCACTTTCTTTATGCCTTTGTATCTTTATATCTTTTTATCTTTTTATATATCTTATTTTTTTCTTCTCTTTATTAGCGAGAATGGTCTGGATATACATTTCATTTCACCCAAGCTTATTCTCATGTTTTACATGCTATTCTCACGGTGAAACAATCATCTCAATACTTATCATCTTATAACTCTCAAGTAAACGCGCAAGTTCATATGATCACTTCATTAGAAACAAATATCAATAAACGACACGCTGCAATATTGACTTTAGGATCTCTAGCTGGTGTAAAATATTTTTTTCATTTACATTTAGCACATAATAAAAATTTTTATTTTTATTCTTTGGCACCATCTTCCATAATTAAATCGGTATTAGATTCTTTACAAAACATTTCTGGAATTAATACTCAAGTTTCTTCTTCTTCTTCTTGCATTAATGTGAGTGATTTGAAGGGAGGAAGATTGGCAATGATTGTTTTTGGAAGAATAACCCAATATGCATTAAGGCTTTCAGAAGATGATGAATTTTTGGATATTGAATCGGAGAAGTTGTTTACTAGTAGTACAGAGCAAAAAAATTATTCAAATCTTCCCCCTACAAGTTATTTAAGAGTTTTATTTGATAGTCTTATGGTGTCATCATTAAGTAAGACTAATCATTCAATTCATTCAATTTCTTTTCTTTTTTTTTTTTTTTTTTTTTTGCAATAAACTGGGACTGAACGGAACGTATTAACGATTATTAACTCTTTTAATGTCTGTCTTAATGAATTGATGTTTGAAATATTTAGAAGCAAAAACATCAAGTTCACAAATATTTTTGGAATCCTCAAGTTTGATTATTTCAACTTTTTCAAAAGTAAATCATACCATTCCACCAGTTAACTGGTTCTCGCTTCTCTCAAGACTCAGCAATCGGAGATATGATCTTCGTTATAAAAGCGTTATTTTGGCTATACGACATTGTTCCCATTCTATATCATTAATGGAATTTCTTATTTATTCGTTGATCAAATTCAATGAAATTCATAATAATAATAATAATTATTTTGAAAATATTGAATATGAAAAATTACTTTTAGGGGATGCACTTGGAAAAATTCTTGAAATGTGTGGTTTTGAGAAAACATCTCTTGAAGATGGAATTTTAAAATCAAATATCGAGCTACATCAAAAAAGTGGAATGGAAAATATAATTAATAAAGTTGTTGTACCTAATTCAAAAGTTATAGAAATTATTGAAGGAATTTTATTAAGCTTATTTAATAAAAATGTGAATTATGATGATTCAAAGGAAGATGAAGTATGTTATTTCTATAATATAATTTTATAATTAAGAAGTATATATATATATTTTATTTATTAATTACGTTATTTATTATTATTATTATTATTATTATTATTATTATTATTATTTATTATTATTTATTATTATTATCTATTATTTTATTTAATAGGAATTGCAAATTATTTTCCTTTCCACAATGGCTAAATATACTTTAACTGGTGCGAACGAGGCCAAAGATTCACGATCAATCAGTTCCCTTCGACAAGAAATTAAAGGGTTATTAAAGAAAGTTTATTTAAATTTTCATCCTCCATCAAACGAAAAACAAGCTCAAATTATTCGATTAACGATTTATTCTTGCATTTTCGATGTTGAAGATGTGAATTATTATAAATTATCAGTAATTTCATATAATAATAATAGTAATAATGATAATAATCCACCTATTTTTGATATGGATGAACTTGAAATTGGTGTTTTTTCAATATGCGCCATGTGTGAATTAAATCGACTTGATCCTATAAAATATTTAATACCAGTTTTACAAAATTGTTTAACAAACATTAATTTGAATAATTCAGACACTTCTTTAATATTTTCTTGGATTCTTCGGGCTATGAATATTCATATATATAATTCATCAAAAACTGAAATTATGAAAAGAAAGAAACGTTTAGAATGGCTATTTAAAATATTAGATGTCTTTATTATTTTAATTTCAAATCAGATAAACTACGAAGATAATTTATTAACAAGAAATGGTGTTAATAAATTAGAATATGGTGTTAAAATAGTATTAAGTGGTTTAGTAAATTTAAGTTGGAAAGAAAGCTTAACAGAATTATTCAAGATTGAAAATTTCTCTAAATTTTATGAAACATGGGAAGAAGAATTTATAAGATTTATGCAAGATAAAACTAGTACACGAAAATTATCAACGTTAATATCAAAGGAAATATCACTGGCTCAAGCATATTTTATAGAGGAATCTGAACAGAATTCATCTATGAATTCTTTGATTAACGATGTATTTATTATTATTTATTAATTTAATTAATTAATTAATTATTTATTTTATTTATTTATTTTATTTTTAATTATTCTAGGTTATTAAACGATTACTCCACCTTTTTAACATCAGTAAGACAAAAAAGACTTCAAAAGATCATCAACATTACGAACATCGATTCATTTTGTATTCTATCTTGACAAGACTTAAATCATTTATTCCTAATGAAGAGTATTTTTTATTCTTAGATGATGATGATATGACCTTTTAAACGTTAGATATTAATTCTCTTTGTATTATCATATAATTTTAATTCATATGTAGTAACTTATGATGAAAATTCTCGATTAATTTTTTATTATTAATATTATCCCTTTTTTTGCACTAAAATGACAAAATATCAACTTTTATATTTCTCGCTGTTAATAGTCTTAATTTTACAATTATATCGCATATAAAAATATAAAAATATCAAAAATAAAAAATAAAAATAAAATAATGGAAATAATATTAGTAAACAAGAAAAGCAAATTATTATTTTCTTGGTTCATTGGAAATGCAATCACTGTTATCCCTATCCCCACAAAACATTAATAATATGACCTTGATTCCAAAAGCACATTTTTTGTAGTATTTCTTTATTAGTCCTTTCAGTGTCAGAAAACCTTGGTGTGTCTACCGTCGCATCATATATTTAAAAAATTATTGTACATAGAAGAACTACACTAGAAATTGGAAGCCAACCATATAATCTAATGCAATATTTGATATAATTGCAAAACATAACTCCTAGGATGTTCTTTCATACGATCAGTTATAGAAACTTTCTTTTTTTCACGTTTTGTATATATATATATATATACGCGTTTGCCTTGCTTTTACAAGTCATGTGATTATGCAATATTACAGAAATATCAGTAGGAAAGAACGTAACTACAATATATCTCTATCATAATGGCGCAACAGACCAACGTTTTCTAGCAACTGACCTTACAACAAATCATATGTATATTATTTTTTGATTTCCAGTATAAAAATATAAAAATGTAAGTCTATCTTCTTTAGAAACGTTACTTTTATTTTTTCGAGGAACGTGTTGTGAATTTGAAAATTCGTGACGAGCTGTTCTACCTAATTAAAGGATTACTTAGCGCGTACAATCAGCTCAATGACCGCCTTGCAAAGTATTTAGAAATAATTTATCTTTAGATTAGGAAATTCTACTGATGTACTTTGTTTTCCCTGTAAAATGATTACACATATAGCTCGCTTGATGGAACGAAATGTTAATTTGTAGTAGTAATAGTTAAATAAATTCCGAACTGGTCTAAACATTTAATTATTTTTAAATAATAAAAAAAAAATAATATGGCAAATCACTAAAAACGCTTTGAATAATAATGTTTATGGCTTTTTTCAGCCGATCTTTATTGATACAAAAAATTATTTTGTCATGTTATGACCGATGAAATATAGAACAATAAAATTAAAGTTGAATAATAAAGTAACAATATAGTTAAAGAATCTTATATAAAGCTTGTTAAAATTTTATTGTTATAATAGTATAAAAATACTTTGTAACTCTTCGAGCTTAATATTCTTCGGCTTCCTCTTCCTCATTTTCAAGAGAATCGGTGCCCACTTCCTCGTAATCTTTCTCCAATGCGGCCAAATCTTCACGTGCTTCAGAGAATTCACCTTCTTCCATACCTTCACCGACGTACCAATGAACGAAAGCACGTTTGGCATACATTAAATCAAATTTGTGGTCAAGACGAGCCCAGGCTTCAGCAATGGCCGTTGTATTGGATAACATGCAAACAGCGCGTTGAACTTTTGCGAGATCACCACCAGGAACCACAGTTGGGGGTTGATAATTAATACCAACTTTAAAACCAGTAGGACACCAATCAACAAATTGGATAGTACGCTTGGTCTTGATCGTGGCGATAGCAGCATTAACATCCTTAGGCACGACGTCACCACGGTATAACAAACAACATGCCATATATTTACCATGTCGAGGATCACATTTAACCATTTGGTTGTTTGGTTCAAAACAAGAATAAGTGATCTCGGCCACGGTTAGTTGTTCATGATAAGCTTTTTCGGCTGAAATTACAGGTGCATAGGTGACCAATGGGAAATGGATTCGAGGATATGGGACCAGATTTGTTTGGAATTCAGTTAAATCCACGTTGAGAGACCCGTCAAAACGGAGGGATGCAGTAATAGAAGATACTACTTGAGCAATCAATCTGTTCAAATTGGTATAAGTGGGGCGCTCGATGTCAAGATTACGACGGCAAATGTCATAGATGGCCTCATTGTCAACCATGAAGGCACAATCAGAATGTTCCAAAGTAGTATGAGTAGTTAAGATAGAGTTATAAGGCTCAACAACTGCAGTTGAAACTTGTGGTGCGGGGTAGACAGAGAATTCTAATTTGGATTTCTTTCCATAATCAACAGAGAGACGTTCTAAGAGCAAAGCACCAAAACCTGAACCAGTACCACCCCCGAATGAATGGAATACCAAGAAACCTTGGAGACCAGTACAATTGTCCGCGAGTTTTCTAATACGATCAAGGACAAGATCAACAATTTCTTTACCAATAGTATAATGACCACGTGCATAATTGTTGGCGGCATCTTCTTTGCCAGTGATTAATTGTTCGGGATGGAATAATTGACGGTAGGTACCGGTACGAACTTCATCGACTACAGTTGGTTCTAAATCAACGAAAACAGTACGAGGAACATGTTTACCAGCGCCTGTTTCAGAGAAGAAAGTGTTGAAGGAATCGTCACAGACTCCAACAGATTTGTCTGTAGGCATTTGTCCATCAGGCTAATAATTTAAAGATCAAGTGAAAAAAAAAATTTTTTATTATAAATTTAAATCAATAATGTAACTTTTTAATTTACTAAGTTTAATTCATCGCTTGAAATAAAGATTTATGAATACATTTAAATTCGTTAAATTAAAGGATCGCCACCGATGATCATCACAGTAAACTTTTACTCCTTATGTGGTGATGATCATCGGTGGTGGTGAATTTTCGTTAAAAAAAAATAATAATAATTTACTCACTTGAATACCGTGCTCAAGACAGTAAAGTTCCCAGCAGGCGTTACCGATTTGGACACCAGCCTGACCAACGTGGATAGAAATACACTCACGCATTTTGTAGTTAATAAAAGTAAAAAATAAAGTGATTTAAAAATTAATAGATTTAAGAAGAGGAAGCAAATTGCTTTAAAAATCTGGGGGTTGGTTGCGCTCACTTAAGTTAGGGAAAGTAAGCTAAAAGAACAAGGAAAAAAATTTCAGAAAAGTGGTTGCTTATAAAAGAAAACTGGACAGTATTGATTCGGTAAAATCCGGATGTTATCAAGTAATACGATCTTGCAAAATTAGGATCAACAATAATATCAACAATACAATATCAACAACCACAAATATCAGAACGCCAGCCCCTTTTCAGATTTTCAAATACGGTTTACGCGTGTACATTTTGTGCTTCCTCCCCCAAAAAACCTCCCGCATTCTTTCCAAAGTTGGGGAGTGCAGAATGTACAACATTAATATTAGAAACATATGGTTCGATCCAAGTTACACGAATTTTTTCCAATGAAAACCTTAACCAAAATATTTTTAAAAACGTCCGTTCTAATTACAAAAGATTTGTCTAGAGGGAATGTCTCTCGGACATGTCATCTTTGATTTCGTACTAGTGTCTCACTAAAAATGAAATTCCACGGAATAATTTAGTGCTACCCAAGTGACAAGGTTAAAAACAAGAGAGTTTAGGATTTTAGGATCACCAAAATGGTTGGACAATATTTTTACCATACCTTTTTTGCTAACTGGCTTTGCAGTAGAAAAGATCAGTTATTCCCTATGAGCGAATTAAGTAATTTTTTTTTGTTTATTTATTAATAAAAATTTACCGATGATACTTGTAATACTGTAATTTTTTATGATCTCTACCCCACATGATATTTTATAAAATCGTATTTTATTTTTTTGCAAAGATTTCGTTTTAATATATCAAATTTTCATGTGACAATATATCTTTTTGATGCATCTATAAATACAATAGCAAGTTTATCAAAATGAAACTTTTTCTGATCACCTGTTTATCACCTGCTTGATTATGGTCATATGATAATACCCTATATTAAGATTTTAAGGTCTCAAAAAGAAAAGTAGTTTAAAGATGTCTGAAGAAATAGAACAACAATCCCTCGAGGAGGAGGAAGTTGAAGTAAGTAATTCTGGATCTTTTTTTTTTTGAACAATGAATTTTTTAACTTTAACTATATTTGTTTTTTTTTTCGTTCATATATAGTTTTTTGAATTTATCCAAATAAATAAAAAAGCTTTAAGAGTGAAGCTTTCGGAGGGAGTTTATGACGAGAAAATTCCTTCTCATTGTTCGTTGCTGGTTTTATCTAACATATACGGATTTTTCGTCGCTGCAACGAATAAAGGTTCGTCTCATAAATTATTAAAGAAAATTATGAAATTAAAAATTCCAAAACTTTTCGTTAATTATTGCAATTTCAGGTTTCATTTACGCGTCTACACAAGATCTACGCGACAAATTCGAAGCTTCCAAAGCCGATTCAAAGGAACTCCTTACTCAGAAAGTACATATTGATGTACGTGAAGGTCAAGTTATATGTCTTCGACTTTCTTCAGATCATTTGACACTAGCTGTTTGTATCAATAATGGTCAAATACTACTTTATGATGTTACTAAGGTTGCATTGGAGGTATTTTATGTTTACAATTAATTTATTATGATTAATAAACTTTCGATATTAAATGATTCCTTACATTGTTTTACTCCTAATTTACGCTTATTGGATAGTTACATAGTATTAAACCTTATCAAATATTGTCATTTGATGATGAAATTAAAGACGCTCGACCAAATCCGGGTGAGAAATACAACTCAATAGCCATATTGCTTATGTCCGGAAATGTATTAATTAGAGATTTTCTAAGTGATGAAGAAATCGGAACCATACAGAGTGATAAAATTGGAGAACAAATTACTTCTAGTAAGTCATTTTTCAAGGATAAAAAAAAAACAGTGAAATCATAATAATCATGATCAAATATTCACTTAAGTTTTCTTGAATTTTTAGTATGCTGGTCCCCGAAAGGTAAACAATTAGTATGTGGATGTCAAAATGGTAAACTTATTAAATATACCCCAGAAGGTGTATCCAAAGGAATAATTAATCCACCTCCGGATTTAGAACAAATCGCTTATTTTGGTAAAATCTAATGATTTAGTCTTAAGTATTTTATATTTTTTGTTCTGGAAAATAATCTTTAATTTGGTTTTTAAAGTCCAGAACATACTTTGGTTAGAGAGTAGCTTGTTTATTGTCGCCTACTTTCCAGTTGTTCAGGAGAATGATTCTGAACATGAAGTATACGTAGTGTCTCAAGAACCCAAAATAAAAACAAATTACTACAAATTTCCATATATCTGTGGTCCCTCTGGTCGTGATAAATTACCATATTTATATATGGAGTCAATAAAGGACTGGTAATTATCTTTCACTTTCTTTTTATATATATTCTGTATAATTTATATAATTTTATATAATTTTACAAATATATTTACCATTTTTCTATACATTTTTATACAATTTCTATTATAGGGGTTCAAATTTAAAAAATCTCGTAATTTGCGCGAGCGCCAATTCAACAGATATCAATACGGTTGCTCGTGATAAACTGAATAATTGGTCAAGTTGGATTCTTGCAGATACAAATCGGGCGGTTCTTCCACTATCAGATATTCATGAGGAGGATACATTACCAGTGGGATTGGCTCTTGATTTTACTTGTACTGATTATTGGAGTGGTTTGGTAGCCGGAGAAGAAAAACAAATACCACCAGTTCCTATATTATATATTTTGAATGACGAATGTGATATTCTGGGATACCGATGTTTCTATAATGACGCAATTTTTTCAGGCGAGAATTTTTCAGAAATATCACCTCCAAAGGTTTTACCTACTACTGGCCATTCATCAGGAGTGATATCTCAAAAAAAGGATTTATTACCAGACGAAACGAAATCCGAGAACATAACACTTCAAAATAATCAAGAGCAAAAATCCTATAATATTAACGCATCTGAACAGAAGAATAAATTCATTCCTTCAACTCCAATTATTAATAGTAATACAGATAAATTTAATACAAAAAATCGAGAACAAAACTCTATTGATGACCTTTCCGAAACAACGATAAAAAATAATTATAATCAAACTTCGGTTTTGTCTGAAAAAACCAATCTAACAGATGCAGATAATAAATTGTCACCACCGTATACAATTAATGATATTAATGATGATATGCCTCAATATAATAAGCGAAGAGCAGAAACGGTGATTTTAAATATTGATCGATTTAATGCTGCTAAGAATGCTATTGATAAGGTATTTATATCTGGGAAGTTTTTTATTATTATTAGGATTTACAAGATTATTTAACCTTTTATTTTCTATTAGTTCCATGAAGGAATAAAAAGGGTGGAAGAAAATTGTATCTTAAAATATAAAATGCGGTCAAATGAGCGAAGTTTATACAATATTAATTCTTTATTGATTGGCGATTTGCCCTTTATTATCTTGGAAACAAAAGAATTAGAAGATCGTGCTGAGGATTATACTAAAGATCTTGTTGATTTAAAACATCAAGTTCTGAATTTTTCTGACGAAGTTAGCTTAGGTCTTGTCATTTTGAAATATGTAATTTCCCTTGACGTTTTTTACAAGATTTGAATTCTGTACTAAAATGCATTTTTTGTTTTTGTCTTAAAAGGTAACACTAAGGCGAAAAATGATTTACAAAGACTTCAAGATGCTCCCCGAATTATTTCCGTGGGTAGTCGTCTAATGATACAAAAACGAATTAAGGACAGGATAGAGACCGTTTTTAAGGTTCTACTTCAGTTATTCGTTTTATTACCTCTCTTGTTATGTATTGTGCAAACTATATCATTTTTTTCTTTTAAAAGAATGTCAAAGAGAGTATCAAAGCTTTAGAAACTCAATTGAACACATTGCACGAACAAATCAAAGAAAAAAAGAACTCTGGATTATTAAGGTATATATCACATTCTTTCATTAGAATATTTTTAATATATATATATACATTTTAATCAAAATTTGTTATATTTACAATTTTTTTCTAATTTCAGGCAGTCTCCTTTGGACTATATTGATCGTTCAATTCGCAATATCAGTAAAGGCTTATATCATAATGTAACCAAGATTGATCATCTGAATGCTCAGTTAGATAAACTTTCACAGCATATTATAACAACGGAAAGTGAAGCTTCAACTGAAGATGTTTCTGAGCAAATCATCAAAGAAGTCAAATCGGTTATGAATCCTAAATTGAATATTTCCTATTCGATAGATGCAGCTAAAGCTACATCCACTTACCTTAATAAAGAAAGTTTTTGCGAAAAATTCAAGAATCTGAATAGAAAAAAACGGAAAAATCCAATTATAAGCAATCTTTTCGAAGACAAAGGTTCATATTTTTTTTACATTCATATATACATCCATATACATATCCATTTTATTTATAACATTCAGTTTTTATATTTAACTTTATCTAATAAATATTAATCAGTGATTGGTGAGAGAAAACCTATGCCTTCGATCACAATATCACCAAAAAAGAACCTAAGTCCAATGAAGATTCGCGATATACCAGCACAATCCTATGAACCAAAATTAGTACATACGCAAGATATTCCAAAAAATATATCGAACATATCAAGCCCTTCCAATGAACCACCATTTAGTAATCATTTTCAGACCAATCTCGATGATGATGATGCGTTTATAAGTACAAATATTATACCCAATTTTGAGGAGGGAGGACCCCTACATGAAAAACAAATATCGGAAATAATGAATAGAAATTTACTAGATGAAAACGAAGAGGATGAAGAGGACGAGGAAGACGAAGAAGATGAGGAAGATGAGGAGGAGGAAGAAGATCAATCTGATGTTGAACCATATCATACAATTCATGAAAGTTCTCAAGAGATATCAGTTATTGAAGGTGATGATTCATCAAGCTTATCACGGACTTCAGAATTTCGCCCAACATATGATGAATCCGAGAAGTCCAAATCCGAAGGTCTGCCATCGGAAACTGAATCTCTTATTATATCCAAAGTGGTAGAAAACGCCACAACCGTAGAGCCAGTAATAGATACAGGTAGTGAGATTATTCAAGAAATTATAGAAACGAAAAACGACTCGAAATTTGAGATTACAGATAAAGATTTAAATGAAAACTTTAATTCGTTTGGATTTGAAGAGCCATCAAACTCTAATAATTCATTAAGTCAGCTCAGTGGGATTAGCGAGTTTGGGATGACTTCATCATTAGGAACATTAGGTAATACTGTAAGTGAACCTGTTATGGGGCAGAAAATTGTATTTGGTACATCAACACCTTCGCCTTCACCTTCACCATTTGGCGGTAATAATGAAAGTATTCCACGAGCGTTTGCAATACCACCAACACCACCAAGTAATGTGAATGCATTTGGACCATTGCCATCCAGTGTTACGCAAACCCCTACTTTTGGTTCGCCTAATCCTTTTGGACAGCCGGCATTTGGTCAAACAGGTTTCGTGCAAAACCCAGCCTTCGGTCAACCAGCTTTTGGTCAACATGGCTTTGGACAAAGGCCTGCATCAACACTTGGAGTTAGTCCCGCATCCATGAAAGCACCAAGTGGGGGTGGATTTGCACGATTTGCGAGGTAATTGTTATTTTTGATTCAGATATTATAAATATTATAAATAAAGAAAAAAACTACATTTAACTGGGGATTGACCAGGAATTATGTAATTCTGCCTACGGTGAAATTTCCCCCCAGCGAAAATTAGCATCACTCAAATAAATATTAGTTTCATGCTCAAAATTAGAATTTTTATTTTTATAATAGTAATAATGCGTTCGGAAGTTTTGGTGAAGCGGCAAATTCTCCTTCTAGGTATGATTTGAATTTTTTTAATTTTTTTTTTTTTTATTAATACTTTTGCATTATAATTTTTTTTTTTTTTATTCTATTTGTCTGCAGTAATGCAAACCCATCTTTTACGCAATATCGAGGTTAATTTATGAAAAATATTTATTTATCACGTGATCTTAAAATTGATTGTAAAAAAAAAAAAATAATAATAATAAAATTTGTACTTTTATAAACAAAATGGTACTCTTTGATGCCAGGGGTCAGGTTATTTTTATTTTTCATGGGGTTAAAATTTTGATAATATTTTAAGATTATCTAAATATCAAGAAAATTATACAATCATGCTTCGCTCGTTATTACTACTACCTACTTTAAGTGCAAGGCAGAAAATTTGTTTTTATACAACTTCAATTACACCTGACGAAAGTCAAGTGAAATTGAATAACAATAATAACAATAATGACAAGGAAACTCTTTTAACTAAAACCGAAAGGGCCGAAAGAGTCGTGAATTCATTAATAGAACATATCCAAACAAAACATATAGAAAACGTTGGTGATACTTTTAAAGTTGAAAAGGTCAAAGCTGATGACACACAAGAAAATTCTAACGTTGAACAAAATAAGTCAAGTAACATAAGTCGTGTAGAAGTTTCTAATGTAAATTCTAACGTTGAACCTGTTTCAAAAAAATCTTTTGCGGAAAGAGCAAAAGCAGGTTTCCCCAAAAAATTTATGCCTTCGGAGTTGGCAAATAAATGGGAAAAACCAAAAGAAAGATTGCAATTATTTGATTCAAGTTTGTGTTAATATTAAATAAAATTAATTATAAGTATAAAAACTCAGTCTAAAAACAAAAAAGTAGTAAATTTTTTCATTTTTTTTTTCAGTTGACTTTGGACCAATTGGTGTTCCTAGCAGGTTTGTTGAAATTAGGAATCTTCCTCATACAATAATTCCTCGTGATATACAAATGCTTGCAGTTGATATTCCAAATGGTATAAGTGCTATCAATGAAAGTAAGTTTGAAATATTATAGTTAAAAAAAAAAATTTCACATAAATTTATACACGCAGTAACATAAAATATTTTATAGTTTCACCAATTCGTAATAATTTTTTTCAGTTTATGGGAGCAATTGAAATGAGTTTTCATAGCGAAAAAGACGCCGTAAATTTTGTGAGATCGAATCAGAATAAATATTTAGGAGGAAATAAACTGGAATTTAAGTTTCTTGCACGTATTTATATATCAGTACAGTTAAATTTAAGTCCAATTATTGATCTTAATATTTTGTTCTAAAATTTATGTATATTATATATATATATATATTTTTTTTTTGCAGCCCAAAAATTATGAATTAAAACCTAGAATGCCATCAAATAACATGAGAGGAACTGCTAACAACGGTACCAGCGTTATTGTATCTGGTTTACCTAGACATGTTGCACTTGAACAAATTAGAGAATTTATTACTGATATACCCAACAATCAGCAACAAATTTGGAAAAATATTTTTGAACTACCAGTGTATGCATTTTTATGCATTTTTTTTTTGTTTTGTTTCGAGTCAAATTTAATTTTCATCAAAATCTAATTGAATTCTTTTTTTCTTCCCTTTCTTTCCTTTTCAATAGTGCTGGTGCTTCGCCAATCTATTCAAAATATTTAATTGTTATGAGAACTAAACCTGAAGCCTATCGTCTGGTGAGAAAATTACATAACACTTATTTCGCAAAAGATTTTAACAGTAAAAGATTTCCAATAAAAGCTAAGGTAACCTTTTGATCGAGACAATCTTAGTATAAAATCTATTGAATAGAAATAATAATAATTATTTATATTTAATATAATAAATATTACTTAATGACAAACTTTAATCCTAATAATTAAATATGGAGATTGTACTTTTATCAATTGGAAAATGAACTGACTTTTAAATAGTGAAACTTTATGAAATAATCGTGAATAATCAAAAAAACCACCAAGTTACCTCAAAATTTCCTTAATAATTAATTTTTGTCCGATAAAGAACGATAAAATGCATTGTGCGCATTTTCTAAATCAAACAATAATTGTCGCACTTGACTTTCATCGATTTCATCGCTCGCTTTCATAGCATTTAAAGTGATTAACCAGTTCCTCATTTTAGCTTCAAATTCTGCAGGCAAAGTGTTCACATTATTTAAACTTTGCATTAAATCACTTAGCATAGGATGTATTTCATCCACAGCTCTCATATTTAATTTGAGTGCGTCCATAAGTGTGATGAAATTCTAAAAATAAAAGATTAATAGTAAAGAATAATAATAATATTAAAAAAATAATAATTAATCTATTTTTGAAACTTAATTATACATACAGAAACAGTTTCGGCAACATGTTTTGCAGATGTACTTGGATCATTATCAATTGAATGTTCTTTAGTCGCTGGAACTCCTATTTTGAATCTATTTACTGCTGCTGGACATTCTAACTAATTCCATAATAACGAATTTTTGAGCAATTAATTGATATTTTTGAATAATAAATTTTGGATAAATAAAAATAACAATAATTTCAATGAAAAAAACCTTATATTCTTTCATAAACTTTTCTACATCGGGTATTAAATCATTTACTAAATTCATCGCAGTTTTATATTGAGCTATTAATTTTGTACACGAAGAGGCATAACTACATTGAAAAACGAAAAAGTCTTATTTATAAGTTTTAATACTAAAGAAATTTATAAATAAAAATAATTATTTACTCAACTCAGCCGCGTTTACGGAATCCCTAACATAAGCCTTCTCTAAATGTTCCATGGTCACGATTATAGCATACACGTCCGCTAAATTTTCATATTTTTCTCGTTCTTTGTTGTTCGTGTACAACTTGAGCTCCTATTAAATATATTAAATTTTATTAAATATAAAAAATTTAGAATGACGTCTGATGGAAAGAAACGTATTGCGTTCGTTATTTACCTCATCGAGAGCGTGATCTAATTGAAAATAAACCAAGTTTTATAAAATATCAAATTAAAAAAGTAAATGCATAATTTAAAAGAAATTCAAATAACTTACTATGTTTAGTAGACATTTGAATACATTTGAATGCAGAAGGAAAGAAAGAAAGAAAGAAAGAAATAAATAAAAAAATAAATAATAAACTTCAAATTTATAATATAATAATTAAAAGTACAAGGAGTACAAGGTGAGATGACCCAATCATGTATTTCCACAAAAAAAATATAAATTGAAATCCTAAAAATTGATCGTGAATATTACTTACAACTTTATAACTAATCAAAAAAAAAAAGAAAATGTATCATCAAAATGATTCTCAACCCAATTATCCTAAATATTATCAGACACCAAATTCGGTGTCTCCTCCTCCTTTACAACACCCAATTCCCACTCATCCACCTATTCAAATGCAAGAACCACCAACCACTTCTCCTTCACCTCTAACTCAACATCAAATACCAGCTCAACATCAAATACCAACTCAACATCAAATACAAGGACCACAAGACTTGTGGGCTTTTAATGATGCAACTACACAAATGGGGATGCAATTTGGAAGGACAGCAATGATGGCAGGAAGTGAATATATGGAAAAAAATGTTGATGTCTTTTTTTTTCTTCGCATTCGATACTCTGAATTTTAAAAATAATCAAAAGTTAAAATATTTTATTTACTAGATCAATCGATATGTTAGCTTTCCAGCACTCAAATTTTATTTTAAAGTAAATAATTCATATGTTGCAAATAAAATTAGATTGATCTTGTTTCCATGGAAACATCGTGTGAGTTTTTGTTTGTTTATAATTCATTAAGTTTCGTTATAATTTGTCATATTACCTCATTGTTCGTTATAGTTCGTTATAGTTCATTATATCACTTATTCAACTTGGTAATCAACTTTATAATAGTGGAATCGACTTGTAAAAAGATCTGAACAAAGTGGACAGATGGAAGGTTTTAAACCACCTAGAGATGATATAAATTCTCCAGACTTATACATACCAGGTATTTCTCTCTCTCTTACACACATATTTTTATATTTATTATATTTATATAACTGTTAATTCTTACTATATTTTTTTTCCCCCTTTCAGCAATGGCACTTGTAACATATGTTTTACTTACAGGAATAGTTGCTGGAACTCAACGTAATGAGTAAGTCTAATAAATAATAAGATTATTATTGATTCTTTTTCTATTAATTTATTTTCAAATTTTATTTAATAAAATAATCTGATATTTGATAGATTTCACCCAGAAGTTTTGGGAGTTAATGCTACATCTGCATTTCTTTTAATGTTGTTGGAATTAATTTTCATAAAAGTTGGATGTTATTTATTAAATATAACATCCGAAGCTCAAATATTTGATTTATTAGCCTATTCTGGATATAAATTTATTGGGTAAATAAATAATTATTATAAATTATTATAAATTATTATAAATTATTATAAATTATTAATTAATTAATAATTAATTTAGCATTATTGTCACTTTAATTATTTCTTTGATTGCCCCTTTCTGGTTGGTGGTTGGAACATTTTTCTATACTGCATTTGCTAATGGATTCTTCTTGGTAATTAATTTATTATTAATTTTTATTCTATTTTGTTTTATGTAATTTTTCTCTCAATATTTTTACAATATTTACTTTTATTTTGGAAAGTTGCGATCTCTACGACATATCATGCTTCACGTGCCTCCTGACTCTACTACAACTGTTACAACTGTCAATATTCCTCAACGTAAGAGAAGAATACATTTTCTTTTCCTTATCGCCTCTTTACAAGTAGTTTTCATGTATTTATTAATAAAATAAGTCATATAATAATATCAATCATATAATTTATTTCGAAAATGTATAAAAAATGTTTTTTTATATAAATACAAAATATATTTGTTTAAATAAATAGGATTACAAAAAATAATTATATACATATATATATATATATGAATTAGTTGTCAGTCTCTACAAAATTCTGTTTTGAATTTTTTACTCTTCAAGAATATCTTCAGAATTAAAAGTTGGGGTTTTGGCGGCTATTATATATACTTTATCACTTTCCTTTATAACACAATCACGTATTGGATTCACATAAATATAGTTTAACCCGCTTTCCTTATGTATCGTATGTCGGTAAAGCCCTAGTGGAATTGCTTTATGAACGCGAATTAAATAATAATATAGTTCATGATAGGTTTTACCTTTGTAAATTAAAGAAAATTAAAGAAAATTGAAATTATGAATTACTGTATTGACTAAATTCAAATAATAATATATTCAAATAAAATAAAATAATAATTAGAGTATTCATACCAATAAATGATGGAGGAATATCAACTAAAAACATGTGACCTGAACTAATTCTACGTTCACTATATTGTATATCGATTTTGGGCGATAAATTTTTATCATCAGCCTCATGACTGAATATAAGACGTTTAATGATGGTCGGAATGTAACGATTGTAATAGCTATTGAATTTCAAAATTAATGAAAATAAAATTTTTTTTTTCTAGATATAAAAGAACAGAAAGAATAAAAATAAAAATATATTTACTTTTGACAAAGCATGGTATCTAAATTACATGGTGTAAATACATTTCCACTCATAAATGATGGACGCATTATTGCTTGAACTGATTTAATGGAATTTCGAGAAAAAAAATTAATAATCAAATTAAGAACAAGTCACCGTTTATAAAGTTCATATTGGATAAACAACTTATAAACTTACTATATTCCTCCTCATTATTTTTTACAGAATCGCTTTCGCCAATCATCTTGAATGTTTCACGATAAATACACTCAACAAGTACAAAACATTCTTCATTTGCAGCTAGAGATTCGACATTCAATGCTATCATAAGTGAAGTGGAATCTGATACACCATCATTTATTCTATAATAAATAAATAATAAGAAAAAATTAATTACAATAAAAAAATTCAAAATTAATAAAATCATAATTTCAACTTACCTTTCATAACGAGATGCATCACTCAAAATAACGCATTTCTTAGCGAGATGAACTTTAGCGCGATAAAGATCTTTACGACGTAATGGTGATCCCTTGACAAAGAAGACTGCACCAAATTTTTCCAATAAACGTTTCCGACCATCTGATGGCTCCGAATCTGACAAAATAACCACCGGTAAATCATGACAACTTGAATGTTGTTCTCGAAGTACCATTAGAAAAATATCCAAATTCTCTGGAAATACTTCAGAGTGATCACATATTAAAATATGATTTTTAATATCTTGTAAATTGGAATCGATTGGCATTTCACAATTAGCCTCCGCTTTCTTGATATTTCGGTTTAAAATCTCTGTTCTATTAATCTCGTCTCCTCTGTTCGATTCACTTGATGTACGAGGTGACTCTTCATCTTCTTTATTAACTGTTAAGAGTAAATTGGCTACTGATTTTGATTTTTTGATGAAATTCGATGAATCGAACCACTTCTTTGTTGTAGAATTAAAATTCGCCATCTTAGTAATTATTTCGGAGTTATCACAAATCACGTATCCAATCTCATCTCCCTTAATAATATAATCTTGGGGATTTAAAAAGGTTTGAAATTGAGATTGTGAATAGTGTGCCATTTTTTCATCATATATTCCAATTGAGAAAAGAACGGCTTCTAAATGTGAATAAATGATATTTGAACATTCTAAAAATGATTTTCCAATAAATGCCTCCGAAAAGGTAACTGCATATATTTCGTGCTGTGCACCATGAATATAATCAATTGCCCAATTCATCCCTAAAAGAAATAAATACAATAATTTGGGAAATTATCTAAATTAATTAATTAATATAAGGATAACTTGAAAATGAGAAATACCTCGATTACTCTTTACTGAGTGAATCAATCTTTTTGCAATTTTTTCAGTTATAGTGGTGGTAAGTAATACAATAAGAGATGCGAACCCGGGATTAACTAAACTTTGAGCCATAAGACCCATGGTGATTTCGTCGAGGCATAACACATCTTTAGCTATAGTTTATAAGATATAAAAATTATTATTATATTATTATAAATAATTAATAAATTATAAAAAATTTCATATTTATAATTACCTAGGAAATCAAAATGCGGCACATTTTCAGGTAAATGAATTTGAACATATAACGATAATTTTTTATTGAATTTTTTCAACGCCTTAAAAAATAATGCAAGGATATTAATAATTGTATTAATTGTATTAATTGTATTAATTGTATTAATTGTATTAATTTTATTAATTGTATTAATTGTACTATTTGTATTTAATTGTATTGAATTTATGATCAAAAACTGTTTCATTAATACAAACCAGAGCTCTCATAATTTGTGCTGCATCTTCATCATCATTATTCTTTGAGAATTTGGAAGATAATAAAAATGCTGCACTTGCGGTATCAGCTTTAACTTTTTGTAAACTTCGACGAAAAGTGGGTGAACTGAAATTATAATATTTAATATGAGATATAAATATGAGAAATATTTGATGAATCTTAAGTTTTACATTTACCCTTTAACATATTGAACTCGATTTACAAAAGCAGGATCTTCAAGAAATGATGATATTTCATCATCAGGCTAAAAAAAAAAAATTGAAATTGAAATTTTATTATAAATATATAATTACGTAAAAAAAAAAATAATCAATAGTGAATTGATTTACCTCATCTGAATTCAAAATCACTACATGAGTATTCATTGTCACCATTCCGTGATCTTGGCAAAAGAATTCACGTAAAAATTCAAATAAACTTGAGGCATCAAAATTTCCTGTAACTATAATATGTTCACGATTCTTTTCTGGTTTATATGAATGTTCGTATTTTGACCTTTGTTGAATTAGATCAAGCAATTCGGACAAATGGGTAGGAAGGAAGATGGCCCCTGATATCATTATATATAAGATAACTAGACGAACCCACTCATTTTCAGGGACAAGATCCGTACTCATACCATTGGTACTATTAAATTTATGTATTTAGTAACTAGTATTTTTTGTCAAAGGAAATATAACTAATTTAATATTATTTGTAAATTTTTACCTGCTTACTATTTAATATTATGAAAAAAAAAATTAAAATAATTAGTAACGTTTAAATGAATTATCAAAGAAACAATTAAAACATTAAATTTCATTTATTTACCTAAACCTTACCTACTGTGTAAAAAAATGCATCATAAAAGCTTAAAGTTAAATTAATTTCTTCCTTATCATTATATTCATTATATTTAAAATTCCCATCAATATTTAATTGTTTATAGGAGATAATGTGAATCCAGGCAGCGACAGTAAGGAAAGTAAATAATATGGTGGTGCCTAAAATTGATATTTATTATATTTATTAATAAGATAAACGAGACGAAAAAAATCTAAGAAAAGGATTATAGAAAAATGAAAATTTACCTATTTTGAGACCTTTTCTCATGATCGCTGAAAAATTAAACAATGAACTTTTTACGGGTATAAACAATACTTGTACAGCGACGTGAGCTCTAACAAAACGGATTGGATAAATGAAAACCTATTTGATAGATACGATAAAACGCGTTTAGGATAGTCATGTGACATCACATAAAAACTGTCGAAGTAAATTTCCATACATAATTATTGACGCCCATATAAGTGTTATCCATTCTCTCGTCATATATTGTTTGAATGTATGCACAAATTACAGGAAAGACTGAGATCCATGTTAAAATTGAAAAGTAATTTCCAGCATAACGATATGGGACTTTTGCTAGCCATACACGAGGTAAGAATTGAATAAGAATTAGACATGCCAATACAAAATCTGCCGTTTGAAGAGAATGTGGGAAAGGTTGTGGACTATAGTCCGGAAGTACATATCCTGTGTTCTAATCACAAAGAATTTTTGGTTTATATTCAAAAAAAAAAAAAAATTAAAAAAATAAAAAGAAAAAATATTTATAAGAAATTACAAACCCAAATATAAAGCATAAAAAACGTAACAGACAATATGGCATCAAATAATTCCCAAATTCTTCCTCTTTTCCCTGTATCGCATTTGAACGCGATACGTTGTTTAATGCTTGGTTTTAATACTGCACGTTCAATGAATTCTTTCTGATTTTTTAACCATACTTCGTTTTGTTCGGAAGCCGCCGAATAATTAATTGGTACAACGAAGCTTTGTTGTCTATTTATTTTTCTATTATTTTTCCTTTTAGATAAATTCTGAACAAATGAATAAGTTTTCGGTTTCTTAAAAATTCTTCTTTGCTGTCTATCAGGATATACATCATCGTTTGGCCCAAAAGAATTCGACCCTGACGCGAGCAAAGGAGTATTTTCATTCATTTATTAAATTTTGATAAAAAAAATTAAAGGGTCGAAGTTCATTTATATACAAGATTTGTTTTATTTATTTGGTATCTGGTGAAACAATTGGCGTTCTTCGATGGCGTGTCAGCAGATTGGGATTCAGTTTCGGCAATAACTCAAGATAGCAATTGCAGGAAGTAAAGATAAAAAGGATTGATTTATTTTATTTCACACGTAAATATTTTCCAATTCGAATATAATAAGTAAATTCGTTGCAAAAATATGTCATAAATTTGTAATTTTTTTTTTAAAAAAGATTATCAAACAAAACAAGGCAAGATTAAGATATATCATGTGAAGTTCCGTTCTAAGAATATTACAAACTTCATTGTTAAGGTAATTTTCCTCAATTAAGATAACAGAAATCTCTGAGAGGTAAGTAAATAAAGATGATACCTTTTAATTATATATGAGTACAAATTAGTAAATTACTATATTCATTGTGAATAATATCTTACGTTTAAGGTTATTCACTTTCGTGACGTAAAAGATTTAATGTTTGAAAATTAATTAAATTAATCTGTATGTAGATATATTTGATAATTTAGATTTTTCATCAGTATAATTTTGGGAATGAAATAAATTTTTGCCGTTTTATCTGATAACGAGTCAAAACTTAAAAGAAAGGTAGTCGATGATCTTTGCCTTTCCTTATTACCTTTTGTACCAGAAACAGGTTTTAGATCGTGTGAATTTTTTCTGGTCACATATATATAAAAAGGTATCTTCTCTCGTTTGAAATAAAAACCAGATCATGTCTGAAAATAATAAAGCACAACTTACTGGTGTTACGACAATTATCGGTACCTAATTTATTGAATTTATGATAATTCATAATTTATTATAAAAAATTTCTAATACTATTTTATTAAATTTATTAAATATTTTTTAAGTTCTTGGTGCTTCTGGAGACCTTGCCAAAAAAAAAACGTATCCTGCATTATTTGGTCTTTATCGAAATGATTTTTTACCTGAAGGAACTCGAATCATTGGATATTCCAGGTCAAAGCTTAGTAATGAAAGTTTTTATGAACGTATTTCTGGATATATGAAAACTCCCACTGAAGAGATCAAAGTACAACTATCAAAATTCTTAAAGCTGTGCACCTATGTATCTGGACAATATGATGTTGAAGAAGATTATCAAAAATTGAATAAAGTCGTTGAAGATATCGAAAATTCTAGTAATTCAAAAGAAAAAAATCGGGTTTTTTATATGGCATTGCCTCCTAGTGTTTTCGTGCCTGTGGCAAAAGGTCTTAAAAAGAATGTTTATTCTAAAAACGGAGTAAATCGTTTGATTGTTGAGAAACCCTTCGGTATGGATTTGGATAGTTCTCGTGAATTAGGAAGAGCGTTAGCCCCATTATGGAAGGAGGAAGAGGTATTTTAGAAAATTTTGATGTCAAAGATTTTTAAAAATTATTATCTGGATTATTTATATTGTATTCATTTTTTTTTTCTTTCCGAATTTAAATTCGACAGACATATCGAATTGATCATTACCTTGGAAAAGAAATGGTCAAAAATTTATTGATAATTCGTTTTTCCAACATCATTTTTAGCGCTATATGGAATCGCCAAAGTATTTCCAATGTACAAATTACGTTTAAGGAAAAAATTGGAACCGAAGGTCGTGGGGGATACTTTGACGAATTTGGTATTATTCGTGATGTTATGCAAAATCGTATGTATATATTATAAGTACTTACGTTTCTTTTCGCACAAAAAAAAATAATAATAATAAAATTAATAATTTCTCATTTTTCTAGACATTTTACAAATTTTGAGTATTGTCGCTATGGAAAGACCCGTGTCACTAAGTTCAGAAGACGTCCGCGATGAGAAAGTATTATATTAAAAATTATTTCAATTCTATATTTTCATAATATTTTACATTGAATTTTAATTCGATTATGTTTTAGGTTCGCGTTTTACGTTGTATTCCTCCTGTGAAATTGCAAGACGTTCTTCTTGGACAATACACCAAGTCTGAAGATGGTACAAATCCTGGATATTTGGATGATAATACTGTGCCTCCTGGAAGTAATTGCCCTACTTTCGCAGCGGCAACCTTGTTTATAAATAATGATCGATGGGAGGGAGTTCCATTTATTCTCAAATGTGGCAAAGGTAAATAAATGCGTGCGCTTTTTGTGTTGAATTTTTATTTAATTTAACATATTCATTTCATTTAACAGCTCTTAATGAACCGAAAACTGAAATTCGAATACAATTTCAAGACGTTCCTGGCAATGTATTCAAAAATTCATCTCGTAACGAATTGGTTATTCGTGTACAGCCCAATGAAGCTGTATATATGAAAATGACTAACAAATTACCAGGCCTTTCTATGGACACAGTTATTTCTGAATTAGATCTTACTTATCATCGACGTTTTTCTGATTTTGTAATTCCTGATGCATATGAATCCTTGATTCTTGATGTTTTGAAAGGTGATCACTCAAACTTTGTGAGAGATGATGAATTAGACGCTGCCTGGAAGATTTTTACCCCAATCTTGCATCAGATTAAAGAAGAAAAAATAAAACCCCTACCTTATGCATTCGGATCACGTGGACCTTCGGGAATTGATGAATTCGTCTCCAAATATGGTTTCAAGAGATCCACACAAGAATATAACTGGCCTTCACGTCAGTAATTGTAAATTATTAAATTTATGTTTAAAACTCTTAAATATTATTAAATATGTTGAACCTCATTTTTATTTTACAATTTTATTTACAATGTTATTTGTAAATTTGTACATGATATACGCGCTGATTTTTCATTACTTTAAGAACCAGCAACACCAAGAGCCAACAAACTTTAATTACAATTGTTGGTATTGAATTATATTCAAGCTCGATTTATTAACTGAATGAATATTGATATTTGAATAAAATAATTTTTGTAAACATATCACGTGTTTATTTACTCGTTTTTATGTGGAAGTTCGATCGTATTATAAACAACAGTTTTATTTATTCGCGCAATATATTTTTCTGATGGTAGACAATAACAAAAGTTTTTGAATAAATCATTTAGGGCTAATAGATCCTACACGTGAAGTACTTCAAACGACCTTGAATAAATGTATTAAAAATTTTAAAAAATAAAAAAAAAAGCTTTAATTTGAGGCATGAAAAGTGATAAATATTGCCAATAATGCCTTTGACTTCAAGCTAACTGTTAATTTTGTATTAACATTAATACTAAAATATTAAATTGTAATACTAAAACATTAAACTTAACCTGTGAGACTGGAAAATTCCTGGTGTCTCCGTCACCTGCAAAGTTATCTGGGATTTAACTAATCTAATGTTCCAATAATAATTTTATTTATTTCTAAATAGAAACGAATAGGAAACTTCACCCCTATTTTTTTTTATTATTCACTGGGTATGGATTATGAGAACAAAAATTCAAACCTTTGAAAAAGTGAAAAATTATGCTCATCGGCAGGTTATAAAGGCAAAAATCGATCTTACACCAGACACCGAGTTCTCTATTGGAGACATGTCACAAATCTTGGCTCAAAATAATAATAATAACAAGCAGATCATATTTTGAATAGTGAGAACCTCTTTTCGTTAACACCGTGCAACAAGATTGTAGGCCATCCAGTCATCACATTATTATTATCATCTTATGATAAATGAAATTATTTATTGTTTCTTAGTTTCGCTTTGTTGAATCAAAAATATTCATTAAGCAAAACAAAATAAAATAAATTTTATAACAATATGATAAAATCTAAGCATCTTTTTCTTGTACTCTGGTTTCTCCTAATACATTATTATCATATCTACTGCGAGTTTGATAACCTTTTTGCACACTATGTAACGTTGCAATTTGATCTCCCTATGTAATAATAATAAACAAATTAATAAATGTGATTCAAACTTGAAAGATTTTAATCTGATAGTTTACCTTCATTTCCATATTATCCATAACTTCTTTCATTTCCTTAATTAATGCAACCCTTCTTGCTTTATTGCCTACTGGATCAATAGCTTGGTATTCATTAACTAAATTGCTGTAACACCTGAAATTTCATTTTTCGTTATATTTATTTTTTTTCAAATTCAAAAAAAAAAAAGAAAATATATAATATATATATATATTACTTACATTTTCAGGTGCGCTAATTCATCAGTTATATTACTAATAATTCTAACCAATGCAATATCAATACCGGAAATTTCTTGATTATGTGAAACTATTAAGAAAAAGAAAATTAATTGGTTATTGCATGTCATATTTAATAAACTTATATGAGAAATAAAAACCTACATTTATTATTTTCCGGAATCCTGTTCTTTTTACATATAAAACATGATTTGGTATTATAGCTTTTTGACGTAGCAAAGGTTTGTTGCAGATTGACAGTTGATTTTCCAGGGTCCTATTTAAAAAAAAAAGGTAATTAAAAGGTTATCAAAAAATAAATTATCAACTAAAACTTTGATAATATTACAAACCATTCCAATGATAAATGGAAGTTTTTTGCGATATGATTTACCATTTTTAACGTCCATCCATCTTGATTTATCCTTTTAATAAAATGTTTAAATATTACATATATTGTATATATCGTATATATTATATATATTGTATATATTGTATCTAATATATATATATATATATATATATATATATATACACATGTATGCATACATATTTGTATAACACCAACCTGAAAAGAATTATTTTGATCCGTTATTTGATCGTCAGAGTATTCAAAGTGATTATGTGAGAAATCAGGTTGTTTTCGTGTACTTTTTCTTGAATCACTATAAGGAATTTCATCTCTTATATCTTTATATTTTTTCTGCTGTTGAATATGGCCAAACTTTTTTTGATCACTCATATTATTTTTGGGGTTGTAATATTGCCTATCCTGAGAAGAACTTGCAAATTGATTAGGATTTTCATAATATTTTCTATAACTATTAAACTGATTGTGCCCATTGGTGAAAAGACAATTGTCTTGCGTTTCCATAGAATCAGTATATTGATTTTCATATTGCTGAAATTTCTTATTATTAAAATTTTTAGTTTCATCATAATCATTTTCATCATTTTTATCAGTTGAACTTGATTCATCTTCCACTAATACCTTCTGTCGACGTACCTATGAAAGTAATATGTAATAAAATACGAGTAAATAAAAAAACACAAGAAATCTCTACCAAAAGTTTGAAACTTACATATGAATTATTTCTCGAATTAACATATTGTCCTTTATCATTTGCAAAAGTTTTAACCACATTTTTCAGTTTTTCAGTGTTTGTATTCCCTGCAATCCATTCATCCGATTTATAATTTAATGATGTCGAGGAAGAAGCTGTTGATGATACAAATATAGGTTTGGTTTTCGGATTTTGTGTTCCGTTAAAGTATTCATATTTTTCATTCATTTGTGCGATTTCTTGCTTAGCCATAGTCAACGCCTTTTGTGCTTCATCACGTTCTTCTTCAGCTTTGAGAATATACAGACGTGAGTATTCCAGCTGTCTCTTCAAAGCTTCGTACTTTTTCTGCAGAGATGTTACATGAATCTCTAGTTCTATAAAATTAACATTAAAGAAAGTCTTAAAATTTTTGTAACATAGATTCAAATTATAAAAATAAAAAATTTGATGCTTACTTTCATTGTTGGTGTGCGCAACATTTCCTTTGTCGTATTTTTCATCGAAATGACCTTGAGTGCTTCTACACTTCCCTTTAGATAAGAATTGACGACTTTTTTCCGTTTTTCTTTCCAATTGACTCATATATTTATCTGCATTCCTTTTGTCTATTTAAAATTTTTATAGTTATTAGCAAAGGTCTTTAAATAATAATAAAAAAATCATTATTTAATATAAAATCTCACCATGAGTATTTATAAGAGATGATGTTATTTCAGAAAATTGCTCGTTTCTTTGTTGACTTTCTAAATACTTTTTGGCCGAAACTTGAAATAATGTTTGCTCTTGATAAAAAAAATTATCTTTTCGTTCATTCGGATATTTCTTTTCCGAGAATGGAAGTTCTCGCTGATGCCTTCGACCATCTTTATATTGGTGCAGTTGTTCTTCAACGCATTGTTCTCGTTTGGTCATTTCTTCTCGATGGTCGTATTCTCTTTGAGTTTTTAGTTGTTGTTCATTTTCTTTTCGGTGCTTCTCCTGAAGTAATTGATCACTTGGTTCTTGAGAAAATTGTTCATCTTGAATTTCTTCATGATCATTCACCTCTCGGTGATGTTTTTTAAACTGTTTATTAATTTGAAACTTTGCCTGAAATTCTTTTTCTTGACGTTGCTCATCTTGAACATTTTGCTGGTGTAATTCTCCTGAATTTAATTTTCTATGTCTAGATCCACCGAATAATGACTTATAAATATTATTATTCAATAAATTTTGCGATTTAAGAAAAAGATCATCATCATCAAAGAGACAATTCTCACCCACAATATCGTAAAACTCTTTTCGACATGAACCTTTTATTTCTGTAATATCGAGCCCGCTGGTAGTAATTTCGAACCCGTCAGAATTTAATTCAAATTTGTTATTAATAGATTTTTCGTTTATTTCATCACTAAAGGAAATATTGGTATTAATTTTCAGGCGAGAATCTTCTTTTTCGTCTATTTCTTCCCCAGAGAAAATGTTAATTTCTATCTTAGAATCATCTCCGTCGGGTCCATATTTAATATGCAAATCGCTTGCATTTGATTTTTCATCTATTGCTTTATCTTCAAGAGAGATGCAATCTAGTTCTTGAAATTTTATGCTATCTTCAATATCGAAATTTTCAAGTTTAGTCTCCATTTTGAAGGTCCTGATTTATCACCCCGAAATATCAATCTTGTATGAATGCGATCTGCAACTGGTAACACGAGAATTTTTTTTCGCGCTCTAACCAGAAAAACATATCGCTTTTTTTATAGGAAGAACATATACTCTTCATAAAAACATGTTACCAATGAATGAATCAGATTCAGATCATTCATGAGAATATACAAATGTAAGCGATAAAGACATGCGCTAATAATTAAAAATTACTGTTATTTATATTCGATCTAATAACTTTCACTAAACAAGTTAAGAATACCTTCGAGGATGAAGATTTTCTTACAAAATCTTCTTATGTCCTTATAATACCTATTGTCAGCAAATATATGTATCAGATCAAAAATAGAAAAATGACTTATGTCAAAATATATTGAATAGATACAAGAGTTTTTTTTACTGAAAACTTTACTTTACAGTTTTAATGCGATACAATATTATAGACACAATTAATTCATCTGCAACAGAAGTTTAAAGATTATTAGGATGATATTATTAATACAATTGAAGAATTTTTAGAATTTTAAATTTAAAACTTATATTCCTGATCCTGCTCATCAATTTTATTAATTTTACTTAGAAGCAAATTTGTATAAAAGATTATCAGTCAAAACTTTAAAATTGGTTGATAGATTATAAAAAAACTTTATATAATAAAAAATTAAATTTATTCCTTTTTTAATTGTTTTATTACATTGTCAACTATTCTAATTTTTCTTGATTGGGATTGCAAATAAATTTGGTTTTACTTTCAAAAATGAATTAATTAATAACCTCGACGAAATCCACCACGACCTCCTCCACCACGACGACCACCCCCACCACGACCACCCCCACTATAACCACCCCCACCACGACTACCCCCACCACGACCACCTCCACTATAACCACCCCCACCACGACCGCCACGACTACCCCCACCACGACCACGAGAAAATCGACCTATACCACGATCTAAATAATTAAATTTAAGTATATGATTTAAATTAATTGAACATTAATAGAATTTTTGATACTTACTGTTTCCACGACCACGATCTGTTCTCCTTGGTACTTTAAATAAATAAAAATTTCAATAATAGTAAAAAATAATAGTAAAATAATAGTAATAATGATTTACCTTTATTTTGGGAAGCAGGTTTTGGTAAAAATCTTTCTATAGGTAATAATTTATCCTCACCAATGAAAACTTTATCGTTAAGTTGAAATGATGTGGCCACAAAACCTCCTTGCAATTTTACAGTAAAATAAACCTCATTCATAGGGCCAAGAATTTCATCCACTTTACCAATTTGTTTCTTATTTTCTAGATAAATTGGTGCATTGAAATATGGGATCTTTTTATTGGTAGAAAGGCACACCATATCACCTTCGCATGCGTGCAGAAAAGTGCCCATTTCTACCAAAAAGCAAGTTGTTACAAATTTTCGATATATAAAATCTTTAAACCCGGTTTTAAATTCTACCTGTAACTTGAGCTGGTGGACCTTGTGAAGGTGTGAACCCACTTACAACACCTCGACCTACGTGTAAAATAAATTCAGTTTAGCTAATATAATCAAATCTCAATACGAAAAACTTCCTCATTATATAACATGCCGAACCTCTAAAACTTTTTCCTCCACGACCTCTGTTCATACTTCAAAATAATATTTCTTGATCTGAGAATTGATTTTATTAACCCAATAAACCCAATAAACCGGTTTGCCGGGTATCGAAATGTATATAAATAGAATCAATGCAATTTTTTTTTTGATTTTTTTCATTTGATAAAAAATGCCAGCCTTCGAACACTTTAGCAATCACCTTCCAGCGACAGAAGACGATATTGATTTCACAGATATCGAGGAAAAATATCAAGTTCCTTTCGAAGAGGGCTTTGATACGATCATTGTTGTTGATAATGTACCAATTGTTGATGAGAGTAAAAAAGATAAATTATTGAAATTCATAAAAAAAATTTTCAAAAATGCTGGGGACATTAAAGAATCAGGCATTAACATGCCAATGGAAGTTAATCCAGAAACTGGAGATATGACTTCGAAAGGGTAAAAACAAAAAAAAAATAAAATAAAATTACAGAATTTGTTTCGAATTGAGTGTCATTTAAGTTTATAACTTTGTTTTTATATATTTTAGGTATCTTTTTCTCGAATTTGAGACGGCTGATCAAGCAATTATGGCAATAAAACAATATGATGGTTACCCAATGGATAAAACTCATTATCTCGCAGTAAATAGGTTTACAGATATCGAAAAATATTCACAAATCGAAGAGGAATATAAAGAGCCCGAAGAAGAAAATTTCGTAGAAAAGGTGAATTTCAAACGTAATATTTCATTTAATTATATTCGTGAAAACAATCTAATTAAATAATTACAGGAACATTTAAGAAGCTGGCTTACTGATCCTCAAGCTCGCGATCAGTTTGTTCTTTACCGCGGTGATGATGTGGTCATATTTTGGAATAAAAAGTTAGAGCCACCAGAAGAAGTTCATAAAAGAAATGTAAGCATTGTTCAAATTTAAATTATCTTAAATAAAGTTATAATAACTAAATAAATTGTTTTAAATTTAGAATTGGACTGAAACATACGTTCAGTGGTCCCCTTTAGGAACTTATCTTGCAACATTTCATCGTCAAGGAATCGCTTTATGGGGTGGTCCCAGTTGGAATAAAATTATTCGATTTGTTCATCCTGGTGTAAAGTTAATAGACTTTTCGCCTAATGAAAAATATCTTGTTACATGGAGTAATGAACCAATAACATTAGGACCTAATGGTGGAGCCGGCACACCTTTTGGTCCAGATGATGAAGGAAATCAAATTATTATATGGGATGTTCATGCTGGGGCTCTTCTTCGATCATTTCCTACATCAACAAATGCAGATGGAGCTCCTAATAAAATTACTTGGCCTATGTTTAAATGGTCACCATCTGATAAGTATTTTGCACGAATAACACCTGGTCAACAAATCTCTGTTTATGAAACACCAGGAATGGGTTTAGTTGGAAAAAAAAGTATTAAGATAGAAGGCGTGAAGGATTTCGAGTGGGCTCCAATATCAGATAAACAGAACCAAGATAAAAAGCAAAAAGAAGAATTACTTAGTTATTGGACTCCCGAGATTGGTAATCAACCCGCTCGTGTGACTTTATTGAATATACCGTCGAAAGAAATTGTACGAACAAGAAATTTAGTCAATGTGTCAGATGTAAGTATTTATTCAATTATCATTAATTAGTAATGGAAATATCGAATCAAATATATAAATATTAATTTGCCAACAATTTATAGTGCAAAATGCATTGGCAATCTAATGGTGACTTTTTATGCGTTAAAGTTGGTCGGCATACAAAAACCAAAAAGTCCACTTTTACAAATCTTGAAATTTTTAGAGTTCGAGAGAAAGACATCCCAGTCGAAGTTATCGAAGTTAAAGGTAATCATTTATTATTGTTATTATTATTATTAAAAATTAAATTATATCATACAGTTTTACATTTTTTTGAATTTTTCATTTATTTATTTAATATTTTCAGATATGGTGATTGCTTTTTCATGGGAACCTAAGGGGGAACGATTTATTATTATAACTACAAACGATCCCAATTATGGACAACCCGCACAAGCCGGATTCACTCTAAGAACCAACGTTTCATTTTACTATCTTGAAAAACCAAAACCTGGGAAAGGTGGTGACACGGTTGGAACCGCTAATTTCAAACTTATTAGTTAGTATCCATATCAATTTTATATATCCTATAAACTTTTTTTTTTTTTTTTTTTGTATGATTTATTGATCATTTTGCTTCGTAATCTCTTATAGAAACACTTGAAAAAAAGACATCCGATGCTATATATTGGTCGCCACAGGGTCGCCATGTAATTGTGGCAACTCTTCGTTCATCTACAGTTTTTGACTTGGAATTTTGGGATTTAGATTTTGAAGGAGTTTCTGAACAGAAAGAATTTACAAAAGCTGATCCCGCCGCCTCTCTACAACTTATGAGTACTCAAGAACATTATGGTATTACCGATATTGAATGGGATCCTACAGGCCGTTATGTTATTTCTAGTTCAAGTGTGTGGAGAAATCCTGTAAGTTTTACATTTTTTACATATCATTATGTCATAATTACTTTTCATAATTTCATTCCTCTGAAAATGAATTTCAGATGATGGAAAATGGATATACCCTTTGGGATTTCAAGGGTTTACAATTACAAAAACATTTGATGGACAAATTTAAGCAATTATTATGGAGACCTCGTCCAAAAAGTTTATTGACAAGTGAGCAAAAGAAAAAAATCAGGAAAAACCTCCGAGAATATTCTAAACAATTTGACGAAGAAGATTCTATCGCGCTAACATCAGTATCTAAAGAATTACTTGCACATCGTCGTCGTCTTATTGATGAATGGAATGCATGGCGCAAAAGAGTTGAAAAAGAACTTGCTGAGGAAAGAGAAAGAGCTGGTCTTCCACCAATTCAAAAAAGGGATACTGAAAATATGGAAATTATTGAAGAATGGATCGAGGAAGTTGTGGAAGAAACAGAAGAGATTATTGAAGACTAACAAAATTTTTATACCCAATTTTGCGTTCGTTTTATTTATACAATTTTTGGTCATACAATAAACTTTTTATTCTCGCATGTAAAAAAATCACAAATTTCCAAACCAATTTATAAATAAATGATATATTACACTATATAAAATTTAATCTTTCTTTTTATCATCAAGTTTATCAAATTTATCTTCAAGTTCCTCGAGTTTCTTTTTTTGTTTGTCAAGTTCTTCTTTAAGATGTTTTATTTTTTCAGCATCCTTCAATAGAAATAAATTTAATAAATATAAACAAAGTTAAGAAAAAAAAAAAGGATATTAATTATATTTTCATAACAAACATGAGTACGAATCCACTGATCCTCAACAGCTTTTTCCTTCTTGGAAAAAGTGGAATCGGAATCACGAATGTGACCACTTGAAATATTACTATTTGAATAATAACGTGAATTAAAATGAACAGAAGTCATAGCTGTGGAAGAACGAAGGCCAACTGTGGTGGGTGAGAAGATTGCTGACAGTCGAAGAGGAAAGTAACGAAATCGAATAGCTTGTGATTGAGACATCTTTTTTTTTGTGAGAACTTCAGATGGGCGGGTGATTTTATGAATTTTAATTCACGTGACTAACTTCCGGGGATTTTCAATATTGTAAATCAATACCATATTTAAAGCTTGGCGTGCAAGTTTGAGATTTAAAAGATAATTTCTTTGATGAAAGATTATCCTGTGTTATCACCAAATTATTGTAGAAACTCCCTTTTTCAAATTGTTCAGGAATAATGGGAGATATTATCAGAGCCATCATTTATACGTTCATGAGATGGTTCGCAAAACTTGTATTTACAGTATTCTATCGTGACCATGGCGCGTTTCATGCTGAAAATTTTCCACCAAACGATGGAACGCCAATCCTCTTTATTGCAGCACCACATGGAAACTTTTTAATGGACGCTATTACCATGTTTGTCACTTGCCCAAGGTACATGTATTTTTTGAGCGCAAAAGCGAATTTTCAATATCCAGTTTTTGGAACAATCATTAAAATTCTTGGTTGCATACCTGTTACGAGACCTCAGGATGTTGAAAGAATTAATGGTCACGGTATAGTGACAGTTATCGAGGATGGTAAAGTAGTAACTGGTGAAGAACTTGGAATTCAAGTTCAAGTTGGTGACGTGTTATATGTAGAATTCGAAGGTCCCGATAACAAAGAAGTGTTAAAAGAAGCTTGTGGTACTGTCGAGGAAATTATTGATGAAAATAAAGTTCGCATAAAAGAACCAGGAATGAAGTGGCTTACTAAAGGAAGACGTAAAGGTCAATTTAGACGTCTTGTCGAATACGGTAGTTTAGTAATTCGCGTAGAACGTGGTAATACGTTGAAAACATTGGAAAGTCTTAACTTTATGCCCAAATCTTTAACCAAAAGTGTTAGTAGAAGTTTTGATAGATTATCATCTTCACCTGGTGTTTTGCCATATCAAATTCATGACCAAATTCATGAACAACAACCCGATGAAATTGTAATTCATCCTTCCAATCCAGCTGCAACAGAACGTACACCTTTAATTGCCGAAAGTTCTTCGAATCATAAGAGAAATCCTTCAGCACGATCAACTCGATCTTCTCGTTCTACTATACGACCAAATTTTCCACCAGTTCCCGGTATTCCAACAACTTTCACTTATACTCACATGCCTCCACATTCTGAAGTGTACTCTGCTGTATACGAACATTTTTCCCAGTCACATAGTGTATGCATTTATCCCGAAGGGGCATCTCATGATAATGAGCACATGTTGACATTAAAATATGGTTGCGCGGTAATGAGTTTGGGTTACTTGGCTTTAAATGAGCCAGATGCGCGAGGTAATCCTAGAAAATTGAAACTTGTTCCATGTGGATTGAACTTTTTCAATCGTCATCGATTTCGAAGTCGAGTATTTGCTGAAGTTGGATCACCAATTGAAATTAAAGAAGAATTAATTGAAATGTATCGTGCTGGCGGTGAATCCAAACGGAAAGGTAATAATTCATATTAATTAATTCTATTTATGTTTCATTAATCATTTCTTATTAAATAATATTTATGTATGATAATTTTATAAAGCTTGCCAACAACTCCTCAAAACCATTCAAAAATCTTTGGCCGAATTGACTGTCAATGCTCCGGATTATGACACACTTTTGTTCTTTAAGACTGCATCTAAATTATATCGTGAAAAATTGTTACAAGAATTAGATTTTCCAGAAAAATTGGCATTGTTAAGGAGAATCACCAAAGTAAACAAATATATTTATCTAGCTATTCTCATTTTAGTATAAATTAATTTATTAAATTCATGATTTTTATTTTTAGAAATATACGTCTGTAATACCGCCATCAGACGAATCCCGCAAATTAAAACGGGAAATTATTAATTATACACAAACACTTCGCAATCACCGCCTGTCACCACCCCATATGTCTAAAAAACCCATAACATTGATTTTTTACCTTCCACTTTTCCTTATTTTAGCAACATTGACAATTCCCGGTCTCTTGTTGTTTGGTCCGATTGGATTGGTTGCTCGATATGTTGGCAAAAAACAAGGAGAAAACGCTATGTTATATGATGATAATTCATTAGCCATTACACGATGGCCCGGTCGAGATGTGATTGCCACATGGAAAATGATGACCGGGATAGCGCTATTCATTACTTTTGATTTATTTTATTCTATTATGGGTGTAAATTTCTTACTGAAATTTCGCATATATGAATTTGATAATCGAGAAATTTTTATTTTTGGGACATGTTTATTCTTCTTCTTTTGGACAATAATTGCATATGGTACTATCTTATTATGGGAAAAGACGTGTTGGGCAGGAAAAAGGGTATGGGTTGGATTATGGAGCATTGCCAATCCGAAAGAACGTAGATCATTAGAAAGATGGAAGGATGAATTGTCTATTCGTGTATGGAAATGGGTAGAAAGTAACAACTAACCAAGCATATCAATAATGGGTAGAAAGTAACAACTAACCAAGCATATTTGACATCTTTATCATTTTTATCTGTATATGATATATTTTATAGAATTTAAATTGTATATTATTAATTATTATTTATTATTATTATGTACATTATCATATTATTTATATTATTTATGTTATTATATATTATTTATTATTATTATTATTATTGATGTTACATTATATTACTTATATTATTTATGTTATTATATCATTTATATTATTTCTTTTTTGTGTATTTTAACGTTTTTCTTGTATATCACAAATATTATTTGATAAAATGGTTTAATAAAGTTTTCCCAAAGCTGCGAGCAGTTTTATATATCAAACAATATTATTCAACTTGTTGATTTTATGTAAAGAAATTCAAGGATTGAAACATTACTTATGTTAGAACAAATTTTAATTTGACAGTTTTCTATTTATATTAAAATCAATCCATCCGAAAATAAAATATTTTTATTTTACGTGTTGTAAATGAGTATTTTTTGGTATCCGTTCACTACTATTTTTTTTAAAAAAAATAGTACTCAAGTTGCAAGACAAGGACACGATACCCAAAAATTTTTAATTACAACTATTATTTGAGAGGATAATAATATGTTTGTATATAATGTTACCAACATTACCCATAACGAGTCATTCTTAACTCAGCAATACATTTTAAATAATTTATATTAACCATTTTCAAAAAATTATTCTAGTATGAAAAGTAAGATTTCAATGAGAAGAAGAAAATTTATCATCGTTAAGATAAAATCACTAATACATAATCAATTGATATATTTCAGTACGAATTTTTGAACTTTAAAATAAAATGAAGCTACACTAACAATATTATACTATTGGATCTAATGATCTATATTGTCAATCATGATAAAATTTGATAATTGTTTGAATGAAGAATTTTTGATAAAAATTAAAAATTCTTATACTTAAATGAGTACACTTTTTTTTGCACATACGCGAGCATTTTTATTTATCGTCGGCCAAAAGGGCGCTCCGGCCTGCGTGCTTGCTGTGAAGTCATAGAGCGTGGAGGCCACTCTTGTGGAACTGTACGCCCTCTATTCTCGCCTCCATTCTTAATTCGAGGACCAATACCAGGTGTAGATTGTTGTACAGGAGGACGATCATATGGTGTTATTGGAGATGGTATACCATAATATTGATTATCATAATAACCAGCTCGCATATTCTGACTATCATATCTTGCATAATCTCGCTGTCTATCAAATTCCATGTATTTTGAAATAGGCGGAGGCATTATAATTGGTAGTGACGGGGGACCACCGGCCCATCCAGTATTGCCACCCATTTCCCACGTTCCTATTATTCCTGCGTTAGTATTTCCACCTCTTCCAATTCCACCTACTCCTCGACCACTACTACTGCCACCTCGAGAAACACCACGGGGTGTTGGAACTGAAACTGTGCTAGGACGTCGACCACGTCCTCCACGATTACTTGTAGTTATTTGCGGACTAATAACAGGTGTAGCTATACCCCCACGTTTATTTGGCGTCGGTGGACGATTTGTAGGATTTAATTTCTTTTGCTGCATTGTAGGGGTTGGAGTTGGAACAGCAGTAGTTGTTGATGCAGTATTTAACATGTCTGGATGTTGTTGATTGACGGGAATCTTCCCAGACATAAAATCGTCAACATGAACTGAGGGAGGACGACTGGTATTCGCTTTACGATTATTATGAATACTACGAAATTCATTCTTTTGATAAGTTTTTCCTCCACCTAAATTTCTTCTAGCATTGCTTTCGTATGCAATTCCCCCAAGTTTACTTAAAGTACGCGCTTTTAGCAGTTTTCTTCCCTTGGCTGCACTGTCGCTTGACATTTTCATTTTTTTGTGAAATTGGAAATTAGGCAACATCTCTTTAGCAAATACCTCAAAATCTATATCTATATCGGGTTCATTAAATAATCCCCCATCCGTTCCTTTTCCTGCTGGATCATCAACCACATCATAGAAAGGAATTTCTGGATAATCGTCTGTAAAAAATAATAATAATAGTAAATGGTAAAGTTATTACATAATTTGATTGTGCATAAAACACTAACCAATAGTAAATCCGACACTTCTGGATCCGATAAATCCTTGATTAACATGGCAATTTTTATCATCAAATTCCCTAATAACTTCTTCCTTTCTTATGTTTAATTTTTTCAAAATTTCTTCTCGATTTATATTATTATTAGAACGACTGACAACGTGAGCATATGAAATTAATTGATCCTTGAGTGATTGAATAACACTAGCAACAGAACGACACATATTAAGGTCATATATAATCTCTTCGTCGTTTTCATTTCGTTGTTTATATGGAAGGTCGAGAACATATTGCTCTATGGATTCATAAGTTTTATGAAGAATTTCGAGATCTTCATTGGAATCAATTACTAAAGACAATGATTCAAACTCTTCTATATTGGTACCAGGAGAATTGCTTCGGCGGTGTGGAGAGTATGCAATAATCTTCAATATAAATACGATAGAGTTATATGCGATATTTAAATCTTGCATTCTTAAATCAGATGATCTTATTAATTCCGGAGCCCAGGTAATAATATTTCCAATTAGTTGATAATGCGTATGTTCTGTAAGAACAATTAAAACTCCAATTTCCGTTTCAACGATTTTTTGTAAGACAAGTAATGATTGGGCTTGAAGTCTACCGTTTTTTCCTTGCTTCACATAAACTAATAATGTATCAATAATGAGGGCGAGGTCATCTATCTTAGGAATTCTCGATCCAGAAACAGTTATAGAATGATTGCATATGGAAAATAAAAATTCCATTATGAAATCGTATATGAAATTCAAGTCATTATTTGTGTTAATGAAATTTAATAACATGGGAACAAGGCTGAGTGAATTTTCGGATGCTTTCTTGCCTTTAACGTCTTCCAATGCTACGATATCGCTGTTACCAGAGAGATAATCGATTAAATGAGCCCTGCCTAATGAATTACTTCCTAATGAAGTCAATAAACTCAACCACCGACCAAATAGTGATAATTTAATATCTAATTCGTTTGAATTTTTAGTGCCATCATTTTGTTCTGAATTTTCTTCAAGTTCATTATTGTTACTTAATTTTCCATTGCCAACTTTATCTAAAATAGATTGAATTTCTAAAAACACTTCACGTACACCGTTGACAATAATTGTCATAATTCCTCTACCGATACCTCGATCATACACATCAAGATCAACAAGCTGACAAATAAGCGTTCTGAGCATAATGTGTATAATTTTCGAACTTGAAGATGCAAGACTTTTAGTTAATTGCATAAGATCGTCTCGTAATGGAATTAATTGATTAACCCAATAATTTCTCAATATTTTTGCTTCAGGAAGAACATCGTCTAAGTCGGACATTTCGTAATTATCAAAATAATTATCTTTTTTAAGATTTGTGAGCAAAGGGGTAGGTAATATCTCACTAAGAATGTGTAAGCCACTTAAGAAATTGTTAGGTCCTTCAAATATGAAATCGATCAATTGTTTTACTACATGTCGTCCAGTAAATTCCGAAAAAAATCGTGCACGACATTTAGAATCTCCACTATCTCCACTGGTATTATTTATTGTAGAATTATTATCTTCGATAATAACTTGAGTTAATAGTCCAAATGTATTCATTAGGAGACCACGTAATCTTGCTATTTGAGCTGATTGTCCATATTTCATTGGTTGATCATTTACGAGTAAAGAAATGGCACCAAGTTGATCACTTAATCTTCCATCCAAATGATCCAAAGCAGATATAAGCATTAACCACGGATCAAGGCATATCTGAATCATGGATTTTTTTTGAGATGGAAGTGAATCATCAGGGAATTCACCTTTTCCATAAATATCTTTAAAATGACGTTTTGCGACACTACTGTTTGGATCTCCGTAAATAACTTTAAGTAATTTTTTCATAAGTATTAAATTATACCATACCAAATCAAGTAATTCTTTTCGAAGTTCGAAAACTTCGGATGATAAGAAAATGCCAGATGATTGTGAAAAGTTGATATTTTGATTATTATTATTATTATTATTATTATTTTCGGTTGAGTTTTTTGATCCATTTAAACTTTTCGATTCATCTTGAATTCCAGTATTATTTGATTCATCTATTTCTATCAAAGTTGAATCATTAGTTGTCTGATGATCTGCATAAACAACAAAATCACTCATATCCGAAAGTACTTCAGCGGCATAATTCAATAATCTTGAAAGAAATACAAATAAACTATCTCCATTATCAAAACCACTAAAATCATCCATTCGAGCTCCTAGTATTTGTAAAATTCCTTCTTCAGAGTATGTATAACAAATAAGGAGTTTTAATGAAATCAAAATTTGATTAACAGTATTTTGTTCTCTTAAACATTCTGGATAATATTTTTGATGCTTGATAATATCAATTACCCCTTGAACATTTCCTGTTTCATGAAAAGCTACAATTGGATCCCATAAAATACGCAAATGACTTTCTGATGAAATTAATGAAGGAAGTAATTCATTTACATTGTTTGATAAAAAATAAATGTAAGCTGGTGAAAATTTAATAACAGCTTCCAATAATTCCATTGATATACGACCAATTGCGATATTATTATCATGAATTGAATTAATATTCATAAATGATACTAAAATCGGTAAAGCATCAAGATGTATAATTGTCGAAATAACAGCCTAATAAAAATTTTAAAATATGTAAACAAATTGATTTGAATAATAATAATTATATCAATTAAAATAATTTAAATTTTTTAATGCACCTGTTTTCCAACGTTAAATGTTGTCATCTCGAATAGTTCATTCAATAACGACGTAACCTTTTGATAATAATCATCATTTGTATTATCTGATCCGGGCCGCCCTAATTCTAAAAGCCTTTCAATAATTGCTATAGAATTAATATGATAAACTAAAAGAATTACTAATTGATCAGAAGGGATAACAAAATTATCTAAAAAATCCGATTCAATTCCTATGGCTCCGAAACTTTGCATTCTTAATATTTGACGCGCTTTTTTCAAATTTGGATCTTCATCGGTTTTGATAAAATATTCGTCTTCATTACAATCGAAAATATAATCATAATCCTCATCATAATTTCCTCCTAATGTTGACTGACCAAGACCACACCAAATATCACCTATACCTGGTGTTCTTCTAATTTCATTAGCGTCAGTCCATTTTTCATTAATAATTTGGGTTAAATTTTGATTGGAATATTCTGTTTCTTCAAATGATTCCGTCACTTCATGCTGATGACATAAAAGGCTAGACCAAATTGCCAATAAATTATCCCCAAATGGCTCACGCGGTTGCTGTAATTGTTTAGCTAAATAGAGCATACCAATTTGTTCACCCAATAAAATAATACAAAATCTTCCAATTGAATTAACGAGCTCATGAAATCGTAAGCAACTTCGAAATCTTTGAGAAGATAGTATAACGGTGAGCGCGGGAAAAACTCGACAATTCGTGAGATAACGAAACGAAAATATAGGAAGTTTATCTTGATTTTCATTTTCGGGTGAATTTAAAGCCATATAGTATAAGGAAACTCTAGATATTATTTGAAGGCAATCGCATAATTGTTCAATTGCCAATTCAGGATTATCGAGAACGTGTACGTTCGCATCATCATCTATCATAAAGTTAGTATTATGCTGTTCAGTGTTTTCATAAGTTGATTCGTCCAATTTCTTCTTTTTACTTCGAATTTCATTTTCATGCAGTAATTCGTTATCTGCAACCTGTTGAATTAGCGTGCATGCTTCATATACAGAAACTTTGCGAACAATCCATTGGAGTAAATGTAAAATTCTAACAGGTAACCTTTTCATTTGTAACATTGGTAAAATGTAAGTTTTATATAATGAATCATAACTATGAGTTCGGTCAATCCATCCGATAAGATTTTCAACAACCCTTGTTTCATCGATACATTTTAATAGTCCTTGTAGTATTTGTGCTTGTAGAGTCGAAGATACATATTGTTCATTTAAAAGAGGGACCATAAGTTTCAAGCAGGAATGAACCTATCAATTTAATAATATATTTAAAAGTCATGTTATATATTACAAAATATAAGAATATATTAAAATAACAGATTCTCTAATTACCATCGAAGTATTAATGAGATCTTCTCCGCATACACATAGTTTTTTGAATAATCCAAGGCCACTTTCATATAATTTTATAGAGGACTGTCATATTACGGCACATTAATTAGAAAACTGGTTGACTGGACAATCGATAACATCAATATTACGCCAGACTCGATGTCAATTTAATAATTTTTGATATCAAAACAAAACAACCACTGATTGTTCACCTTTCCAGACGAAATATCTAACGCAAATAGAACACCTTTGTATAATATATCTAGTTTATCTATATATATTAAAATATAAAAGTTATATATATATTATTATTATTATTATTATTATTATTATTATTGTTATTATTATTATTTTACTAAAAATTTTCTTTTATTAATAAAATTACTTCTTTACCATCATATGTAACACCTTGGAAGCGCGCCCAAAGGACCCCTTCAGCGAATACGTCAGTTAACTCTCGAATTAGTTCTGCCATTTTATTCGTAACATGATTCATTGAACGGTTGGTATTATATTTTATTGTATGTAGCAAAGATTTCAAGCTTTCTATATGACTTGAGAAATTATCCCAAGCCTTTTTAAACTTGATATCAGAAAAAGAATGTGAAAGAAACGATAAGAGAGTTTCATCGGGAGAAACATGATCCTGTTAAAAAACATAATATTTAGAAACCAACAAAGTAATAATAGATTAATACAATTATATAATAATACGATATAATTTATATACTAGTCAATTACCACAAGAATATCTTTATTTCCTTTCTCATCTGAAGTCGATCCCAAGCAGGTCAATGAGTTTAATGGATTTGGAATTCTGAAAGCCCCAGGCCGTTCATTTCTTAACAATATTCCGACACGATCAGTATCAGAAATATCTCTTGAATCATCATGAAAATAAAAATTATCCAACTCCATTGGAGTTATTGATTGTTGTTGTTGTTGTTGTTCATTATTTTTTAATTCGTTGGACATATTGTTGTTAGATATAGATCCAGTAAATGGCATAGTCATTTCTATATCCATTGTTGACGAATTTTGGTTAAAATTTTCATGCGATCTTGTAATATTTGTTTCCATTTTAATTTCACCAGAATTCTGTTCAACGATTGTCTTTCCCTGATTATCGGGTAAAATTTTTGAGGAAGGTTTTAGTACTTGCATACTTTGATTTAAAGTAATGGAATCTGTTGTTCCATTTTGAATTGAACTTTCTCCGTTGCCTTCTTTATTGACTTGTTCATTAGCCACCGAATTTATGGAATTGTTAATTTTCGACGCATTAATTCGATTAGCTTCCACCACTTTACCATAGACACATAATGTTACAGCGTGATAATTTCCTCGTAATATTATGAATCTAGTGGTTGCCTTGTGTAATAGTTATTATAATAGTTATTATAATTGTTAATAAATTTTTAATCAAAAAATTATTAATAACAACATAATATAATATTAAAAACTTACTTCTGGTGTTAAGGTAACGTCATAGCTCAAATATCCTTTCTTTTCGTCGAAAGAAATTGTTAATGGGTGCAAGGGCAATGTTGGCGGCCGTTTTTCGAGAAGTTTGGAAGAATCAGAAGTAAGAGTTTTATGAATGAGAAGGTGAAGTTCGAATTTATTTGGCGAAGTTTTACTAATTTAAAAATAATAGAAATTCTTATGAATTATTTTTTCATTGTATAGAATTTTTTATACATTAGTTTAATACTTACCCAACATGATCCTTGCGACTTCCCTTGAATGGACGAAAATTGTTTGGCACAACCCTTATATCAGATAATACAACACGCTTATTGAACCTTATACATTCTATTGATTCCGTTAGAGATTCATTGCTAGAAAAATTTCTTGCAGTTAATGTGTCAAAAAACAATAGTTGAGTTGAAGATCTTTTCTCTTTTACAAGATCTATTGAGTTCGTTGGGTTACCTGACATCTTTTAATAAAGATACAATTATATATATGAATATGTATTTATACAATTTATGTAGCCTTTAATACTTTGTGTAACTTTGTAAATCGCCATTCATCATATTAAATGTTAAATGCGCCACAGTTTTCGTGTGAAATTTGCTTCTGCGAGACGGGAAGTCTTAACTTTTCTTTACATAAGACTTATTTTGGATTAAATAATCTTTACATACACGCGTGGCTTCAATATGCATTAATTTGGGTAGTATTAATTGAGTCAATGATGTCTACAAATTTCACCAGAACATTCGCGAACTTATGACGTCATTGGATCAATAAAAAACCTTGATCTTACCGGAGTTTTCCTTGCTTTCGTGTTCCAATTTATTTTACTAATAAATTTTATAACTTGGGCGTCCTTTCGAGAAATTAAAAAATCTTACTGTAATTAAATATTCATAATGTCTACTAGGTAAGCGTGTTTTTACTGCTAATTGATTGCAAAAGTTTATTTTTGCTCTTTCAGCAAATTTGACACAACAATCTGGGTGATTTTTTAAATTTTATCATATGGATTAAAAAGCCAAGTTTTCCATCCAGAAGTACTTTGGGCACAACGCGCCAACGAACTTTATGTTACTATAAATTTAGTTGACATCAAAGATCCAAAAATTAACGTGACTACGAATAAGATCTCTTTTGAGGGGATCGGAGGAACAGAACAAAAGTTATACGGTTTTGAACTGGAATTAAATAAAGAAATTAATCCCGAGGTAAAATGCTATTGTGTTTAAATAATTTAAGGTTTATTTTACTAAATTAGAAGGAAAAGGTTGTCCAGAGTATTTTCCTTGTGTCAATAGGCCAACTAATGAAGAAAATTGAAAAAAAAAAATATTATCGTGATATTAAATTATGGTTAATGAAAGGATTTCTGCGAATAATCAGTTAATCATATTATTTTTATTCGTTAGCTTCTCAACTTAAAAAATATATATATATATTAGTCAACATGTTTATAAATATTAATCACTTTATTTTTCAATTCTATAATTATTTATAGACTTCAAAACGTTCACAGACTGGACGTAACATTATCCTTGTTCTTAATAAAGCTGAAAATTGTCAAGGTTACTGGCCACGTTTACAAAAAGAAAAAGGTAAAGTTACTTTTCTAAAAACCGATTTTTCAAAATGGAAGGATGAAGATGAAGACGACGAAGAAGGAGGAGGTGGCGGCGATCCATTGGGTGGAATGGATTTTTCCAATCTAATGGGTGGTGATTCCGGTTCAGGTGCTGATCTTGTAAGTGTTGGCTGAGTTTAATATTAAAAAAAAAAACTTTATTATTAGAATTTATAAATACATCTTAATTTAAATATTTGTTCAATCAGTCTGATTCGGACGATGATGAACCTCCGGCTTTGGAAACTGTCACTGATGAAACCAGATTGAATGAACCAAAAGAGGATGAATTTAAAGAGGGTGATGGAAAAGGATCTGCCAGCGAAACTGTTCAAAAGGGTGAATCTGGCAAAGAAGTAAACGAGGAATCTAAAGAATGAATCCAGAAAAGATAACGAGTGTGTGTTGTAAAAAGATAAAAATAACAAAAATAAATAGTGTTAATATTAAGTTTGGAGGTTTTATTTTTACTGCATTTTGGGGATTTATTATTTATAAGTTAGATTATTCATTCCTATTCAGATACTTATGTTTGACAATTACAGCTTAAAAACATTTATTGTTACAATTAAAAAATATTTCTTTAAAATATAATTATCTGATTGTGTGATTACATAACGATCCTAGTGCATATTATTATTTCATAACTTTTTCTATAGGTTTATGTTCTCATTCTTCAAAATTGGCAATTACGTTAATGTATTCTTTTATATGATTAAATTTTTTATCTTTCTTCACCTGTCAAGGATTAAAATCGTATTAATGAATAAAATGATTAGCATTCATATTACCATATTCCGAGTCACACTTTTAATTTATGAATTTATTTTATTAGTGTTCGAAATGCTATCCATGATGGATAATCCAATCTTTGAATCACAATAAAAGAAATAAAAGGGAAGCATGATTTATTCTATTAATTAAAGTTTGAAACGGTACTTGTTAACAAATAAAGAGAAATTTTGTTTTACTATGCTTCATTAACCCTATTAAATTTTGATCATATGATTATTACATAAATTAATATAAAAAATAGTAAAAATAAATCAGGCACAATGAAGAGACATTTTAGATTTTGCTTTCTTAGTAAATCCTCTTCATCACAATCATTATCTGGTGAAGGTGAAGGTGATTGTAATAATAGTAGAGAAGATAGTGGTAATGGAAGAGAGAGAGAGAGAGAGATGGTAATGATAGTAATGGTGATGGTAATTTCTATAAATATAAATAAAAAAAATAATTTTTTTATTAATATTTTAGATCATACTTATGGATTTACTTTTCATACCTTTACTACAGCTATATTTAATATCTCTTCTATTATGAGAATTGTATTTTCTTATTAAAGATTGTCCTTTTGCTTTTTAGTTATTTTAACATTATTATCAACATCACAATTAAGTGAAATGATAATGGTAATAATGATAATAGTAATGGTAATTTCTATAAATATAAATAAAAAAAATTAAATACTATAATTACACTTATAGATTTAGATTTCTACAGCTGTATTTAATACCTCTTCTATTATAAAGAGTGTATTTTCATATTAAAGATGACCTTTTTTCTTTTTTGATTATTTTAGTATTATTATCAATGTCATTTAAATGACAATGATAATTTCTATAAGTATAAATATAAAATAAATACTATGATTTTTTCATTAGTATTTTAGATTATACTTACAGATTTATTTTTATAACATCTCTTTACTAGATTTCTACAGTTGTATTTAATATCTCTTCTATAACAAAGATTATATTATCTTATTAAAAATGGACTTTCTTTTTTTAGTTATTTCAGCATTATTATTGAAACCACAATTAAATGAAATAATAATGGTGATAATAATAATAGTAATAGTAATTTTTATAAATGTAAATAAAAATTAAATACAATAATTTTTTTTATTAATATTTTAGATTATACTTATGAATTCAAATTTCTACAACTATATTTAATATCTCTTCTATTGCAAGGATTATATTCTCATTAGTGCTCCCACCAATGAATCAACTTTCAAATCAAATGAATTACAACCCATTATGTTTTTATAATAGTATTTTATATTATGCAAGTCAACTCATTTGGAGCTTTAATTCTCATATTAGAATAATTTTTTAGTTATTACAATTAAATGATGAAAATTGATTATCAATATTAGGTGATAAAGTTTTTCTATATATTGGAAAGTTAATACAACTTCTAAATTTTCATTAGTAAAAAAACAATAATAGTTAGTATAAATATATATTATTAATTATAATATAATAATTACTAATTTTTCTATGTCAAAATAAATATCATTATCATTTATATTAGTAGATAATCACTGTCAAATGAAAAAAAAAACATGCAAAATTTTTGACACAAATAGGTAGAAATACAAGGAGATTTATAGATAAGAAGAATTTTATATGATATACAAATAGGTAAAAAAAATTTGTGGATGATGTAGGAAATTTTATAGATAATATACAAATGGTTAAGTCAATTTGTATTAAAATTTTTGGTGTTATTATAATAGTTAACTAATAAGAATATAAAAATATATATAATATATATAAATAATAAAAATTGTAATTATAAGTATTATATCATTTTGTATCAAAAATTTTACCAGTATAATTATAATAATAACATTGTTGTTAATAATATTATTGTTATTATTAGTAATGTTATTATTGTTAATTGACACAATGTCAAAGTGAAGGTTTTAGGACAAAACCTATACACATGGCATTAGTGTGTTGGCCCTGCTGGAAGCTCAAATTCCTAATCAATTTTGTTATAATGTGCACTTTGTATTTTAAGCCTCACTCAAATAATGTGTGATTTATATTTTACACCATATTTTCATTATATTTTTATTAAATTTTTCTTTATACTATCCTACTTGCCATTGAAATTTAATGAAATTAAGTTAATTTATATATTCGTTTTATGCTTTTTATATTTCTTTTGCAAGTTAAAATATATAGTAATTATTAAATCTAATCAAATAAGTATAATGGAATTATTAAATCTAACTAAATAAATCTAATGAAATTTTACTTATTGATGAAGTAATTAAAACAGAAAAATATAAATCATTTTCAAGTTTTTTAATCTTCTGATTATTTTTTAGTAAATAGAAGAATTGGAACAAAAATAAATTTATCAGTGAAGAACAATTATTAAGTCTAACAGTTTTAAATCTAATAATTTTAATATCAAAAAATATATATCAGAAATTTTTTCTAAATCTATTTTAACATTAAAAATTCTTTTTATCTAGAGTTTTTAGAACAATAAAAATAAATATACTTTAAAATAACTTGAATTAACCTTGATTAAGTTTGTGATATATCTAATTATTTTTAATACATATTATCAAATAAAAATCTAATGAAAATTATTTTATATCAAAAATTGTATATCGAGAAACCATTCTAAAATAGATTTTAATATTAGAAATTCTTTTTAACTACAGCTTCTAGAACATTAAAAATATATATGAATTTAAACAACCTAAAATAGTTTTCAATATATATTTTTCTAAAAATAAAATTTCTATAATAAATTTCACAAAAACTATTACAGGTATTTAATACATCCAATATATATTATTTAGTATTTTCAAAAGTTTTAGTATATAGTTTTTGATAATATTAAGCAATAACTAGTATCCTCTAATATGCAAAAAACAATAATCAAAAGTTAAACCAGTAGACTTATCACAATTAGTACAAGGTATCTGTTTTTTTGATTTCTAATGAAATCTATATTTCTCAGGTCAAAAGATAAAATAAAAAAGTGTGGAGTCCAGTCAATCACATGAGTGATGTATATCCTAAAAATTGATATTAAGTATGATGTATACATGTTTCAAAATTGATTTGAATTTTTGAGATATTTCAATTTTTTGAGATTTATGCAGAATCTATTCTATATTTAGAAGTAAAAAAAGTATCCAGTTATGTGTATATTCAATCAAAGAATAAATCTGAGTGGTCAGGTTTTAAGTAAAATAATTTTGTTTTTTATAAAAAACTATTTCAACTTTTTTCTTCAAAATTACAATTTCAAGATCTCAAAATAATTTTGTATACAAGTATAGTACAGTGTATCTAAAAAAATGTACAAAAGAGTATTATACAAATGTATACAGAATAAAAAAAATTTTAGTACTTCATATTTTATCTTTGTTAATATATTAACATTCGAAATGTATAGTTTCATTTATTAAAATTTTACTCAATTGTAGAATAAATCAATAAAAATTATACAAAAGATGTCATGTTTTTTAAGTAAATTTGTATTTAAATATATTGTCTCCTTTTTTTTCTTTTTTTTTAAAAAATATTTTAAACTGGAAATATCACTTATTAATATAATTGTTTTTGAAGAGGATGTAATTTATGAGGAAGACTTTAATGAAGAAATATACTAATATTTTGTATTTTGTATTTAATTATAAGAAAAATAAAATAATAAAATTTTATTATTTAGTCAAACAATATATCATCTGAAAATGAAAAAGAAGTTTATATTACAAAAAATACATCTGTTGAAACTATATTACATTTTTTAACTCCTATTGAATATTCACCAACAAATATAAATGGTAAAATTATTATTTTTCATGTTGAAAGATGGCAAAATGCAGATGCTACATTCACTAATGTAAATATTTTTTTTTAATTTTATTTATTTAAAATGATTATATTTTTTCTTTAATTTTTATTTATTTAAAATAATTAATAATATTATTAATTAAATTTTTTTAAAGATTTAATATTCTATAGGTAAGTCTTGTGGTTAATACAGTACATCCTGTTCTTATTTAGGAAATATTGCAATAATCAAAAAGGATAGAATTTGTTAAGGATTAAAAATATGTAAATTTGCTAGTTCAGAATTATTAAAAATAACATATAAAATAGTAGAATTTAATTTGAATTTATATTTAAAAATAAGTGAAGAATTATTTACAGATAATATAAAAAATAATACCTTTGTGTAAGTGTTTTTACATTATTTATAAATATTAATTTCTTTAATAAAATAATAAAAATAACAAAATAAAAATTATAATTTTATTTAGTATATATTTAACAACAATTAAAACTGAATATAGATATAAAAATAATGAAATACAATATGATGAAAAAGCTATATTAAATGTTTTAGATAACATAATAAAATCATACCTTTTATATATTTTATTGAATGTAGTAAATAGAAATTCAATAAAAAATATTATCGATTTATTAGTATTCAAGAAAATACTGATTTAAATTTACTTCATCAACTTTTGAATAAATTATGAAAGGTAAATATATATTAATTAAGTTTTTAATTTTTATATTTATTTATTAAAATTAAAAATTATTTAAATAAATATATATTAATTAAGTATTTAATTTTTATATTTGTTTATTAAAATTATTTAAATAAATTCAGGGAGAATCAAATAAACCAATTAATAATTACTTTACAGTATTATACAATAGTTCAAAAAAAAAATTAAAATATAATATAATTTTAATTTTTTTTTTAAATTATTTATTTTAAATTTTTATTTTTAACTTTTTAATTAGCACATCTATATTGTAAAAGAAATATTGTAAAGCATGAATCAATAATTCAAAAAACTTGTAATGTTAAATGTTCAAAATTAATATCACTTGATATTAAAAAGTGTTCATATATGATTCTTGTTTCTAGAAAAATTTATTCACATCCACCACCTCCATTTAATTGAGTTCCAATTATTATTCATAATTGTTTACAAGAATTAATTCATCAAGCAAATGATAATACTGGAGATGTTACTTCAACTTGTATTATATTAGATAATTTTAAAAATTATAAATAATTAAATATTTAAATATTAAATTTATCATAATTTGTTATATAAGATATCCTCCTGTATAATATACCCCCCTGGTTTAGTACCTGGTATAATTTTTAAGTATCATTTTTAGTGAGGTGTATTGTACCCAGGATAATTATTATATTAATAAAATTAAATAATCGAAAATTTGATTCAACGAAATTTATAATTTTATTGAAATATTATTTATTTATTATTATTATTTGTTATTATTATTTGTTATATTATTATTATTTATTATTATTATTATTATTATTATTATTATTATTATTATTATTATAATATAAATTTAACTCTAATTCTCTAAATTTATTCTCATAAATTTATACAATCAATTTCATCATTATAATAATCATCATTACTATCATTAGAATCATAAGTTAAATCAATTGTTTCGTTATTATTTTCAACTTCAATATCTTCATCAATTTCTTTATCTACTTCAATATCTTCTTCACTAATTTCATT